GGTGTTTATTGATGTCTCAGTAGGGTAACTATACCCCATTCTTCAACATATCAAGAAAGTTTTACAATAACCATTAGCTTGGAGAGAGAAACTTACATTATCAATTGATTACAAAAAATTAGTTGAACACTTGAAAAACCAGAAAAAACACGATGATTGGGCAGAAAAATAAAATTTAACTTGAATTCAACACATCGGCTGTCACTTAATCGGTTTTTTAGTTGCACATAGAGAGTAAAAACTACAAATGAAAAAAGTTTGTGCATTCTTTTCATTGTTATAATATTTTTTGAGATCGTTGAATGAAATCATGCCTTCATAGGCAAATTTTAAGCTTGTTCTTGTAGTTCAAATTAGTTTTTGTACTCGTTTTTCAAATTAAATTAACTTAATTAGGTGCAGGAAATTAATGTATTTTTTTCAGAGTCAGTTTTACTTTCTGGAACTTTCATATTGTTCTCCGTTTCATGTTCAACTCCACCTTAAATTAATTTTCCAGATCATTTTTTTGCACTCATCCCACATTTAAAACAAACAACTCTGTCACTGCAAAAAAACCACCGGATTTCAATTGTAACTTGAAACCCTGGCAGAGCATCATTTCTTTCTTGCCTGGAGATTTATCAAGTGAGACGTATATGGTGGGCAGCAAAAAACGTGGTGATTAATTAATTGCGTGAGTGGCGCACAAACCCATTGCTAATTATAAGGGTTTTATTTTTCTTTCTCGCAGGATGTGAATCAGCCGCGCAAGAGAGATGCGCGAAAATCCTTTGAAGTCGCGCGCGGCTAAGCCCTGATGTGCGCTGCATAGGCGCGCGGGGTCTACGAATACAAAGTTCTAATCCCGCCGAATTTCTTTCGAGGAGGATTCCTTGCCGCTTAGTTCGCGCCCGCGAGTGACAGATTGGCTGAGTGTTTTCTCAGCGGTCTACTAACGTGACACTAATGAGATCGAGGGATCTCAGCCCTAACACACTCATATGTATAGAGGCGACCGCTGTTTGCCGCTTAATAAAGTATACGCATATGAATAAATAACCCCGTCTAACACGCGGAGAGAACCAAGAGCCAGCACCGAAACCTAAAATAACTTTGACGCGCGGTTCTGAAATCATTTGGAACCGAATGGCGCCGAGATTCGATTCGCTTTGATAACCACAAGAAATTTCAGCCATTATACATTTTGAAATAGCAATTTTAATGTTTAATTCAATTGTAAATTAGCGTAGAGATGATTCAAACTAATTAAAAAAAATGATAAGCTTGAAAAAAGCCAGAAACTTGCTCGCGAAATTATAGAGGACAATAATTATTGAAAACTGAATTGTTTAATTATGAAAAAGGTAAAATAGCGAGATATGTTTAAAGGTGAATATAAAATTATAATATTTTTTTTTGCAAGCATTTGGAATAGTTAGAACAGGCTGGGTGAACGGGCGAAATGGCACCATTTAAAAGTTTGAAAGAAATGTTATTAATATAATAATAAAAATTTATCGAATGAAGTTGTCAATTTTTCGTAAGATCTACACTTAATCTTACCACGCCGAATCGAAAGGTGATGGTCCCATTGCCCTACATAGTACTTTAAAAAAGCTTAAAAAATGTATTGTTATTTAATAAATAATTAACTTTTTAATCAATTTTAGAATTTTAAATAACAAATGACGCAAAATTGATTACTTTTCTAAGTCTCTAGAATACTTTTGCCAATAAGCTGGGTATGGAATGGTGATGGTTTCGTTGTCCTACGTAACACTATTTAAAAAGGGTAAAATCTTAAAAAATTAATCCATTTTATTTTTAATTTAAAAATGAATGAAGGAAAGTTGATTAATTTTCCAGTAATCAAGACTGATTTTTCCACAACAGATTGAATGGTAATGGTTTTGTCCTATAACAATTAAAAAGTTAAAATAAAATTTAATAAATATTTAATTTTATTATTTATTATTTAAATTTCAAAACAAAAGTATTTTATTTTTCATGGATCTAGATATGCAAGTGTTTTTGAAATATTTAAAATTTAAAATGAATTCTATCTTCAAGTCAAAAATAAAAACAAAAATTGAAAACAATAAAAAATTTTGCTTTGGATCTCATTATATAAACTCTATCTCTTGTATACCTTTTAGGGTAACAGTTTTGACGTTGAAAATCCTTGCTGGATTCTAATATTAAAAAAAAAAATCATTACAGCGGCTCGTGAGATTTTGATCTGCATTCTGTGTTCACACTTGAACGTGTCGGAAAGCAGAGAGGATTTGGCCAATTTAGCAAATTGAATCTCCCCTCAATTAGCGGCGCAGCTGTTAAATGAATCGAGCCATGGGCAGGGTGTGTTTGCACGCAATAAGAGCGCACCATGAATGACTTGAGGCGAATTAACGTGTCGCCATGGTGATGTGAATAACGCGCCGCTTGCTCCCTTCAGTTGCTCCTTCCGCGTGGAATCGCGCAGGAATTTCATCATGCAATGATAAACGCGCACAAAACTCTGCCGCACCAACTCGCGCCGTCAGCGATGATCGTCGCATTATTATGAGAGGGAAAATTATTCTCGGCTGGGAAAATATGCTTTCCACCGAGTTTGGTTTGTTGACAAAACTTGTATACTTTTTATATCAAGAATTTTCTTCTCTCTCTTGCGAAAGTTTCTTTTGCCTCGGATAAAATAAGAGTAATCGAGCGTTTTCGTTTGCTCGTCTCCGAAGCTGTTGTTGAGGTCGCTAATCTTTATTGACAAAATGTTTTTGTTGTCGCGCGAGGTGCGAGACTAGTTCTGGCCGCAGCCGCACGCACGATAAGGTGAAAAAATAAAAAGCAGTAGAAAGAGGAGCCAAGCCCGAGAGCTGCTTAGCCGGCTGATGAATGTTTTCGGATGCTAATAGCAGTTATTTACGAGGCTCGCCGAGAAACAGACTGTGAAACACGTTCGCTGTGACACGGTGACAAATTTGAAATGGAGTGAGCAGCATTGGAACAGTTAATAGCAAGAAATACCGCAACTCTCCGAGTGTAAAAATATTTCTCTTGGCGCTTTATAGACTCGCGCGCAGCCCCAACACACTTCCTGCCCCCAGGCTAAATCTGCGCCCGCTCCCAACACACAAAATAAAATGCAGCCAGTGGAAAACAGTAGAAAAAAAATCGATTTTGACAAGCGGCCAAACTCACCCCATTCCATTAAATGGACTTCATTCTAAAGGTTTGATTAAAAATGTCAAAAAAAGTCATTAGACTATTCATTCGAATTGATTCGAATAAGATTATCAAGAAAATATTATTATATAATTCACTATAATTTAAGAACATTGATTGGGCAGCGCTGATTGACGAAATGTCTGCAACCCGCAGAACAAAAAATTCTTAAATTTCTGGAAATTCAGTCAGACGTTTTTGTTGAAATTAAGGTCAACTCAACATTATTTATACAAAATATTCCTGAAATATTTTTCCAATTTCTAGTTGCAACAGAACCAACAGAAGGATTTTAACGTTTAATTTTATTTCTTTCACTTATGAGACATAAAATTTTAATTTTTAACAATTCCATCCCCCTTTTGAAACTTCAACTAAATGTCCCGTTTGATGAATAATTATCAAGAAGTTCAAAATTTTGTTCCAAAATCGATTTTATTTTTACGTTTGTTGTGCTGGTTGCATATATGTAAAAACATTATATATGATTTATGACAAGCAAAAAAGAATTTATTGTAGCTCGTAAGTTCATTCGGACTATAGATCTTAGTTGATTCTGTCATTATGATTAAAAATATAGTGGAAAAATGAAAATTTTTGGGGAAAATATAATGTAATTCAAACTTTTTTGGGATTATTTTGTACTGATTGTCAATTTAATTTTAAAATAAATTTTTTCTTCATTTTAATTCTTCTCTCTGCTGTTACTTTATTTGCATTATTTAGTAATAATTTAATTGCAAATGATTTTACAAAAACAAAACAAAAAATCATAATTTTTAATCAATAGCTATAAATTTAAGACAACATTGAACTAAAATATATTTTGTATTGTTAAATATTATTATATGATTATTGTTCAATAAAAACCAAATTTTTATTTTGATTCTGTGTTGGAGCCACTTGGAAGATAATTTATTGCATTCGAAACCATTTCATGCTCGTTAGCGTCGAAATTAATTAAGAGGGAGAGATGAAACTTATTCGTATGGAGAGACAAAGCTCGGCTGTTTATTTATCTAGCGCAAGAGGAAATGTGTGCGTGCCTTAATTTCGGAGATCACTAGCTGCGGCTGTTTTGGCTTGTAACGTTGACAAATCATTTCAGCGTCACATAAAGAAGGCTCGAAAAACACGGCCGGCGCGCACCGATCCGTCTCTGCAACTTCAAACAGCAGCGCCCCAACTTCCTCCCTCGACGTTCGCCGCGAGAGAGGAATTATTATTTTCATTGCTGATGGCGAGCAAGTCGTCATAAATTTGTCACCTTGTCACTCGCTCATCCCAGCCATGAAATAACATGTGTATATCAATGCGCATTATATATGTGTACACGTGTGAAAAAGTATTCCCCAGTGATTTACGGCGCCGACACATGCGCGCGCTCTCTCATTTTTGTTGCTGCATTAACTCTTAAGAAAATAGCATTAAATTATAACATTAATTCTGCGGGCTCTGTCACAACTCGATCCACGCCGAGGCGTCGCCGCCTGAGGATTATCAACGAAAACAAAACGGCGCCGACAATCTTTCTCAGCGCGAGAGAAATAAATCCAGAGGTATGAAAACAAATTTATTGGCCAAAAATATAATATATGCAACTTTCTGCTTTCAGTCCCAAGATTATTAATCAAAATGATATCGAACTTCTGATGATGATGGAGCAAAATTCAAACTAATTATAAATTTTGTAAATGAGATCAGTCAAAATCTGAGAAAATTGTATACTCAATTTTGTTTCGTGTGCTTGGGAAGTGTTTTTTTTTTATTAAAAAAAAAATCACACACACGCACACACACATTTGCTAGACATTACAGCGTTTTATTCTCTTTCTATGGTTGCACTTACTTGAAAAAATCAATATGACATAACATAAGCCATTAATTTCCTGCAAACATTTTTTCAAAATTAAGTTAATTTTCTTTAAGATGAAGTAAAAAGGGTAATAATCAGAACTGAAAATTTAATCGCACAAAATCTCCCACTTCTGCCATCCGGAGTCAGGGTTGCTTGCTTCAAATCTTACAAATGTTCTCTTCCGTGGCCCATTTGGTGCCTCTTGAGTGACCATGGCTGCCTTTCCACTGCCTTTGCTTATTATGGAAACTCTATTTTCCCCCTTGAAACTTGGAGGTTCAATTTGAAACAAGTTGTTTGCCTCTCGTGAGTCAAAATATGATTTTTTATAAGTATGAATGTGACCTGTTTTATAGGCCATGAAATTATCATAATAAGGGTTGTGGAACTCATAATATTTGCGCCCGTCAACTTGCCACTCTGAAATATCAAATAATGTAATATCAAAAAATTTCATCAGAAAGAAATTTTTTAAATCCTTTGTTATTTTTTTCTCAATTTGGCTAATTTTTTGAGAATTTGTCGATCTTTTGTCTCAACTCTTTGGTGCGAAATAATGAATTTTCATCGATTTCCTTATAAAATTTTTATCCAAATTCGCCTGTGCAATTTGACACGTTCTTAAGACTTTATTTTAATTTTTAGTCATTTTCTATGAAAAATGCAATTAAGCTAACACACTCTTTTGTAAAAATCAATTTGACTATTCGGTCGAATTGTAAAAAATACAATTTTACCAATTATAGCCATTATTTTACCTTCGATTTCCCAAATAGCTTCAGGTCCGACTTTGCTGTCGCCGTAGTTCCAGATGGCAACGCTGTCATCATAAAAGCGTGACGCCTCATACATTATTTCGGTACTCCGAATAGAATGGCGAATTTTGCATCCTGTACCCACGCGAGGATGTGACCTTAAATGTAAGTCAATAAAATTATTCAAAATTACACCACTAGATAATGCGGTATAAAACTTTAAAAATAAAACCGAAGGTAGAAATGCACAAACTATCCGTCATCTTTTATGACGACACTACAGAACTATCCAAAATGTTCACGACTCTTACTCTCCAGTCGCAATGCAACTCAAGAAGCAGAACACAACAACGCTCCAAAAGCCCATCTCGCAGCACTCTGTGAAAATATATAGTTTAATAATTACAGTTCGTAAATTTAAACATTTTACTAAACTTGGAAATTTTGTCATTAAATTTAGCTTGCTTTTTCGGTTCCGAGTAAAATTAGAGAAGGGTACTGCATTTCAAAAATGCTTTTTTTAAGTAAAAAAAAATGTTATTTAATCTCCAAAATTGAATCATAAAAAAAAAAATGGAAAATTGAAAAGAAAATTTAAAAAGAGAAAAAAGGGTGCAAAGCTAGCAGTGATCTAACGAACCAGAAAAAAATTAAACCTAGTTGGCCGCCACCATAGAATAACATCAAATAATTGCTAGCCTTCCATTAATAAAAATTGTAACAATTAGAGATAAATTTGAGGCAAATGGATATTGACTAATGCAAAAATATTGAATTGATGTGGCATGAAAATTAAAATTATTTATTTTGTTAAAGTTTATCAGAGAACCGGATCGCAATTTCAAGCCCCCAACATTAATCCACAAAAATTCAATTCAGTTTTAAAATTCTTGATTATGAAAGCCCATCTTTTGAACATTTTTTAGAAACAAAAAATTGAAACTGCCATGAAAATTAAACACAGAAAAATTGTTTGAGATGGAATCATTTCAAGAACTACTAGAACTCATGATCCTGATAAAGCATAAAAAATATGAATTATGAACTTACTGAGTAACCGCGTCGAGTGTGCTCATCGAACAGGCTGCTGAAAAATGTGTGCCCGTCTTTTATTGATTCCTATAGCTTGCATCATCACCTTGTTGCAAATTAAAAAGACAAACGCAAGTTCCAGTTAGGAGGATTTTGACCAAGAATAAGCTGCGATATTATGATTAGCAGAAGATTGGCAATGACGTATTTCAACACACTCTATAGTCTACATAGGGGCAACAGATTTTGATAAAATTTGGCGTGAAACTTTTCTTCCCAATGGACTAGATAGAAAATTTCAGGTCAAAATTAAAAAAAAAATTACCTTACTTTCAGCTGACAATACACGAAATGTGGCTTCGCACATATTCAATCGTACACTTGTCTCAAGAGTGTCCCTTTTTATCCAATTTCTCATTCTGTTTCATCATTGATTTTCAATTGGAATCTTTTCTCACTTTGTTAATTTGCGGTCCCGCTATACTTACAAGGTATGCTATTGAGATGAGACACCCTGATTTCAATGAAAATTGGTGTACAAAACTTCTGCTACCCATGGGTACCCCCCAGAACAGCCATTAATTTTTGCCCAATTTTCCTTGTTTAATTTTTGCATTGGAGAACTCGGAAGTAGGCAACATATATACACAGCGGACGCTTTTGTTGCCTACGATTGATAATTTTTAACATACGTTTCAATGGAAACTACCCTCCCTTGTGAAATTGGGCAACTTTTGATAGCCATTCCAGAACATCCAAGGGTAGTGCAAGTTGCATACCAACTTTCAACAAAAGCGGCGTGTGTCATCTCAATACCTTATACCTTGTTAGTATCACTTATCACACACCCATGAACATTATATTATGCACCTTGGAAAAGCAAACCTTACATATCTGACAAAAGCCATCACATTTTTACCGGGGAATAAACTTCCTTTATAACATTTTTGTTCTAGTGCAGCAGAAAATCAGCACGCGTGTCTGCAAAAACAAAGCGACGAAGATTGACAGGCACCACCTGCCATTGTCATGATGGGAGTGCTAGACTATTTTCCTTTGGCAAGACATAAAATTCATAATATTTGTGTTACAATTTTAATAGGCGCGGAGGCTGCAGCAGCTCTTGCGCTTGACAATGTGACCGCGATCAGCTGTCACTCTAGCTCTGTTTGGAGATATATTCTGATAGGGCGCACACCAACATGTGCTGCACTTGATGTGCCAGACTGCTTGACGCCGCGAGGCTCTTTTTGCGAGAGCTAGAGATGCCCCACGACGAGTCGAAACCAAAAGTATTGTGTAACTAAGTGAGTGCACGTGTGTTGTGGAGAAGACGAAATCTATACGCGTCAACTAATACCCGACAACCACTTCCTTTCAACAGAAACGGCGTGAAAATATTTTTCTTACACGCGCGTATAAATATCATTCAAAAATACAGTTAACTTTTTAATGACGTCAATATATACAAAGAAAAATTGCAAAAAAATTATTTTAATCTTTAATCAATAAAGGATTTTACAATTTATTTTTTGTATGATATAAATTAACTATTATAAAAATTAAAAATATCTTAATTTTTAGTTTTTTTCTAATAATAGAGTTGAAAACCGTGACATAAATTTATATTAACTTTGCTTTGGGATTTCATGGGTATATCTTAAGAAGGCTTAATTAACTTGTTTTTTCCGAGCGTAAATATATTAAAATTGAACACACTGAATTATAAAAACAATTTTTCAATCTTTTGAACAAGTGGCCAACTTCCTACAAAAGTGAGATCATCTCAATTTATTTTGTTTTGTTTATTCCATTTAATAAACAAAAAAACTGCACTTTAATTTCCACGCAAATTACGTTTGCTGCTGAGTGAGATGAATTGAATGTGACGTTGACAAGACTGTTATGTCACTCTCTCTCTCTCCCCCCCCCCTTAATAGACGATACAATAATCAAAATACGAATCCCCTTCTTTCTCTTGCGAAATGCACGCGCTGCAGCACAACAAATAAGGGAATAATGTGCTCGTCCAACACCGCAACTCCAAACAGTTTTCCTGGCTCTCTCGGTCTCGTATGAATCACAATTTCTATTGTGTTCGCTGCGATGAGAAGAGGCGGAAAATGAAATCTCGGCTCTCGTCCCGCACCACCATCTGTCTTGTGTTTGGGGATTTGGCCTCTTTTTTGCCGACAATTACGATGTTACGGCTGCTCTGAATCGAAATAATGTTTGCCCAAACACTGCCAAAACATCACGACGAGCTGCGTTAATAAAGTGACAGCAAAATGTTTCACAATACATGTCCGTGGGCATTAAAAAAATAAAATGTGTGATTTGTGTGCACGTGCGTTTTTCTGGTGCGGAAATCGGAAATTATTCTTTAAAATTGGTCATTTTATGATGAAATTCTAATTCATGTGGGATTTGTCAGGAGCCGTAAGGTCAGATCAATAATTGTTTTCAATAATGTAAAGAAGATCAAATGCATTTTTAAGTAAAAATTTGGTCGAACTCTTCATTATCCTACTTAACTTTTTTAAATCAATAATCATTGCCAAAATTCAATAGGATAATAATAATATAATAACAATTGACTTTGAAACACCATGTTTTAATTTTAACCTTTTTTAACTTCTAAAAAAATTGAAAATAGAATAATTCAAATAATTGGCTGCAAAAAATCACGCCTTATCAGCCCAGGTGTGCGTGTGAAAATTCCGAGAGTGATTTACGGCAGAATTTTTATCAAGAAACTTGCGGGGTGGAAATCGCCTGGAGCCATTTTTACGATTGGAACATCAAACCGCGTGTGTCGCGCCGCCTTTTTTCCTTTGAACATTGATTGTGTTTGGAGAAAGAGAGCTGCGGAGAGGAAAAGTAAAACATTGTTGTATTTCCACAAAGCAGGATATGTAGGAAAAGCCATTTCAAACACATTTGTATGTGTTTGGTGCGGTGCGTGTAAAAAACAACTTTTTCTAGGAAGTGCAGCCAAACACACACACACCACCCTCATACTTCTTCTTTTAACATTTTGATATCTTTATAGATGGCCGCGCGCTCGTTTATCTTTCATCTGGCGTTTACACTCACGTACCCCAAGAAAATAAACACTCTCTTGCTCAGTCAGTATGCGAATGTTTGTGAGCAACTTGTTCGCTGCTTGCTTTTTTTTGCTCAACGTGCGTGCGAATAAACTTGTGGTCCGCGTTCGACTTGAAAAGAGGGGCTCTGCAAAAACTCAACGCAATTGCACGTACATATATATTATGATGTTTATGCTGCGCGGCGGCAATAAAAACGCAATCTAATATTTATTCTCGCGCGCTCTGAGCCGCTCTGTGTTGCTTTTGCCCTTCTCATATGTTCGCTTTCATGTGGTTGCGCGCGCGAGAACATGCTCGCAGCTCGAATCACACGCATCACTTTAAAACCTTGCTTTGGATCATTCCAAAGATTTTGAAGTTAAAAATGTTTCCAGATTTTAATAATTCATAAATACACAAGATGCACATAATATATTTGCAACTAAATACATCCAGACTCTTTAAAAATGAAATACACAGATAAACTTATACAAAAATTGCTGTTGCTAAAAAAAGATCTCAACAATTCATATTACTCTTGGATATAATTTCAAAATTTCTTGTTCGCCAATTAATTTTCCAAAATATATCAAAATTTAGAAAAAAGTGTAGTTAAATTAAACGTTTTCCTGTTAAAATCTTTGCAAAAAACATAAAGGATAAATAAATAAAATTTATATTGTAAATCTCGAAACTCTCGAAAGTTTTAAATGAATTCTTGATACAGTGGTGGTGTGATGGTGACGTTTCGTACAACAATTCCTTTTTCTTAAATTAAAATATTTTTGAAAATTGAATGAAAACAATGTGGTTTTAACATTTGGACGAATAAACAACAATATTAATAATCATGATTATCCGGTTAACATTAATATTTTTTCTAATAGTTGAACCCAATATATTTTCTGAAAGTGTCCAGACTCCAAAATAGAATCCAAGCTTTTTCAAAATTTGCATAAGTTATAGAACAGCTGAGAAAGTGATGAAAGTAAGGGTCGACTTTTGAAGCCGATTTGCATAATTATTATTATTATTAAATTATAATTTTTTTGATCAGCATTTATTACCACTTTAACTGAACTATATTAAAACCTAATCACCAACTATAATATTGAATCTTTTTAATTAACATCCTGAAATTTTGCATTTTAAAATTAAAAAAGTCATTTGAAATTTTTTTTAATGGTAAATAAGGACCTTAATTTGAAGTTAGGAAATCTAATTTTCTCAATCTCTCAAATTTTAAAACTGTTTATGCCACGCTTAATGTTTTTGTTATATATTTAATTTTATTCTATTGAACTTTTTATTTTGGTCAGTGCAATGCGAGATGATTATGGAGCTTTCTTCATGCTGTGTGGCTGCACATTTTTTGAGTAAAAACGAGACTAAACAAACAGACCGAATTTTGAAATAGACGCGGCGCGTTGAGTGGGCTCTCTGATGATGTCTTGCTGGTGTGGGTGGCGGCGAGCAGGAAGCCAAGAGATCATAGGCGGCGCATATGTGTGGCCCCATTGAACTTTTCCGCCCCAAGCTCGGATAATGCGCGCAATGAGCCGCTCAAATGGACCGGGCCAACAAAAATAAATATTGCTTGTATACCTGCCGCTCGGCTGCAGCACATAATCAAAATTTCCTCTTCTCGCTCCTCACACATTGTGCACCTCAAAGAGCAGCGGCCCTTTTGGAGCTTTCCCGTCGTTTTATTAGAAAATAGAGCAGATTTTGGCCAAAACCCACGCGGCGGCGGCACCTGTGTGCGATTGTTAAATGAGCTGAGCTTCCTTCTTACTTTTCATTCATTCCGCTTTTCCCACAACCGCGCTTTAATTCAAAAGTTCCCTTTCGTTGAGAAAAGTTTTAGAGTTTTTAGAGAATGCTGCAGAGACATAGCTTTCCTCTCTGCGCGGATTTTAGCAACTATTCCGCTCCCTCTTCAAATAGCAAAACTTTGCTCAAAGTTTGCGACAACATTTTGCTTGAGAAAGACAACGTTTGTGCTAAGTGCGCGTTCTGTCATAGATATAGTATGCGCAAGTCCTCCTTTCAACAAAATGTTTAAATTTCTCTTTTTACAGAAATAATGATTAAGTGGTGCATTAAAAATGAGGAACAAAACAATTTAATGGTGAAAAAGCTCCATAAGAATTGAGCAGTGTCAATAAAGTATGAAATTATTATTAGTATATAAATGAATGTAAAACAAAAAAATATAAAAAGTCATAATGATTCCTAATGATTTATTTCAAAATCAATCGCTCTTTTTCTGTTGGTTGGCACAAAGATGATTTATTAGCAAAATTCGAGAATATTTTGTTTTCAAGAAGAGTTTCAATATTTATTATCTACGATGAGCACCACTTGACAATTTTGAAAAGTTGTAAAATTTAAAGATTTTTTTTTATATAAAAATAAAAGCAGCAATACACAAATTCCCTCTTTTCTGTAGTTAACATCCTAAATTTTAATTGCAATTTCATGTGAGTTGAGAAAACTATATCATTGATTAAACTAGCAGTTTTATCATTTGTTAATTATTAGCCCAAAATTTATCATGCACGTGAAGGTTAATTTCTTAAAGTAATTTAGAACAGTAAACTTCAAAATCGGTGAGCTTCCTTTTAAAAATAGAAAAACGCATTCAAAAGTGAGGAGAGGGGTTTGAAAACTCTGAATCGTCACTCGTGATTGTTTTCGAAGATAATCCGAATTCCAGAAAGTTTGTAAGCAGCGCCCCGAGTACAACACAATAATAAAAGTAGCTGAAAAGCTTTTCCAGCCGAGCGCATTCTCAACTAGTTTACGATTGCAACACAATATCCCGGGGCAAGATTTACATTATAATTGACTCTTTTTTTTACCGGCTGCAGCTCAGAGATGGGTATCATGACGGAAAGTGAGACGCGCTTTGTCCTCCCCTATCAGCATGAAAAGATACAATATATTTATATATTAATTTGGCCGATTTGCAGTCGCGGCGTCCAATCAACGGGCCTATTTGTGCTGCGCCGACAGATAATGCCGGTCAACGCAGGAGCATTTTGATCATATTTGTTGTTTGCATGAGATGAGCCGCGGCCAGGTGCTCTCATCAGAGCGACCAGTTTATTGAGAGAGACGTCGCCGCGCGTGACAAAAGGGGTGGAAAAGGGCGCAAGCAAGCGTGAAATACTCGTGGTGAAGTTTACGGGGAGAAGCAGGCGGCCATAATTGTTCGCCCGTCGCGATGAATAATAATTATTATCATAAGCCGCGTATAATAAATATCTGGCGGCGGCCATCGCTGCAGCCGCGCTGTTGATCCAGCGCATTATTGCGATATGCCGAGTTTGTCCCTGCGCGGTGTAATCATTTTTTCGAGCACCTTCGTCCCATTCAAATGCAAAACTTGACGCTGCATGCTCACAAAAGTATATATTTACGTTTTGCATGACGCAGCAACGGATGCCAAACCAAAACTTGAAAAAAACGCAACGCTCTTCACGTTTGTTTGTGTGCCAAAAAACAAATAAATTTTTCAACGGGTCTTTTTTAACCAATACAATGCGTTGATTATAATTCTATGTTATTTTGATAAATTAATTAATTATTAAGAATGGGAATAAGATATTAGTAAAGTTATAAAATAAATGCTATAGAATAATTCTCTAAAATTCTGCGCTTATCTCCAAATCAAAAGAAACTTTTCAACCCAAATATATAGTATTGTTTTACATACCAACTTTTAATACAAAATTTTAGGCTTTTTCAAGCGTTAGGTACTAGAGATAAAATTAAGGCAGACTAATTCTATACCAGTTTGATCACTATTAATTTATTCGGTGGTACATTTTTATTTTATTAATTTTTTTTTATATAATGTTTTTATTTATATCTTTTTATAATTTTCAAAACTACCTTCTAAAAAAATAGGCAATTACATGGGAATATTTAAAAATCCAAAATTAATTTAGCTTTGCATGTAAACTAAAATCAGCCATCGATCGAAATTGGTTGGACCTAATTTTATTAAAATTTATTATGCATTAAAAATGTGCCTTTCCTACAAAAGAAATTTTGTCAGCAATATCAATTTCTTCTATATATGGGTGGCAAAATATTTCTGCTCATTTTGGGGTCAGTGAGAAAACTCACAAATTGGAGGTGAACAAGGAGACCTTACTTCCTTTTCTGCGCGACTTGGCGCGTATTAAGATATCAGATTGCGGCGCGGACGGATTTTGAGAAACCTCAAACGTCATGTCCTGTCCATGCGTGGGCCGCCGCGGGGTGCTTTTATATATTGAATTAAGAAAAGCCGCGGCCAAAACACACACACGTCGGAAAACAAAAGCTGATTATTGGCCACGCATGAGTTGAGCTGCCGAAACTCTTAAGTGTCGTACACAGAAGCCACACTCGCGCGTGAGATGCGCGACATTATTTATTGTAACCAAAACTAATTTTTAGCAGAGCCGCGAAGCCCCGCGAAGACTTGCTTGAGTCACTTTTGCTGGCAAAATATTTTACTTGTCGTTTTGCTTTCAAATCGCGACACACCAACCAACGGATTTATTTTTATAACCAAAATAAGTTTTCACGTATAGAGCTTCTCTCTCTCCTCTCTCGCTGTATTTATAAAGTTTGATTTGGCGATGGGGTCGCGTTTTAAGTGGATTAAATCTCAAGAGATAGAACAACTGCAGCAGCAGCGATTGCATCGCTCGAAAAAGAGCTGCTCGGCTCTCTTGTGCGCCACGTCGAGCGGAAAGTGCACGCGGGAAAACGAGAAGCCATTGTGATCTCATTAAATAATATTAGTGCTAACCGCTCTCTCAATGATGTACTCCTGGTTTTCCGCACCTTTATCATCCGGCTGCGGCGATTTCAAAGGCCAACGCACAAAAACCTTTTAATAACCTCTGAGGCAGGGGCTCTTCACGGACTTTATTATTTGAAAAGCTTATCAAATTTGTGCTCTTGAAATGTGGATCGGAAGAGATGAGCATAGATAGATAGTCGATCCAGATGGACTTTTTGATAATAAAAGGCTTGAAAATGATCCTGAAGCACACGCGGGAGAAACTTTAAATCCTGCGGAATTGTGCTCCCCTGCATGAAAGATATAGAAAGGTTAAAGATGGAGTATTTCTTCATAAAAAACTTCAATGGAACAATAATTATCGCATCAAATTTTTAATTTGTAATTAATTTTCATGCTCTAATATAAAACATAAATCAACATTTAAAACTTTATCAGTTACTTTTTTTAATTCAGAAAAATAGAATAAAATATAATTATATAAAAATAGGGGGGTAAATAAAAAGAAAGTATAATTGCATAATACAAGAAATTAGAAATTGTGAAAAATTTACTTCTATTTTGATCTGTTCTTTTTATATTATTACTTAATTTTAACCTTTTAAGATAGAAGTTGAAAGTTTTACTCAATTGAGTTTTCAATAAAGACCATATATCAACATTTTATACTGAACATTAACTGAAAGCCACTTTTTTAGTCGGAATTATCATTTTTTTTTTACCACAGGTTACAATTGAATTATAGATTAATAATTTTAAGATACTCAGTACTTTGAAATTTTAAACAAGATTCACTTTATTTTATGATACAATATTTAACAGAGGCACAAATAAAATAGTTCTCGATTTACAATTATCACAGTTGAAGGAATAAAATTGGCGTTTTATGCTACACAGATCTCGACACAGTTATAGCTGCTTCCATTTGTCCGTTTTTAAAAAAATTTGAGTTTTCACACAAACGCTCCGCGTGAAGTGCCCTCGCTGAAGCGACTGCACCCTTAAAGTTTCTTTCTCTCTCTCCACCTGAGAACACACAGAAATGAAAACATTAAGAGTTTTTCCTTGTTTATTTTGCCGCACTTGTAATTTGATTCTCTCCTCGGCACAAAAACCGTTTTGAACAAAATATTATGTGAGCGAGGGTCAAAAGCTGGCGGTCATTAAGAGAAAAAAAGAAGTGCGGCGGCTTTTGTGTGAAAAGGAATGGAAATAACACGTGTTTAACAACTTGTTTTGGGGCGCAGTATTATTTTTTTGGAAATCCGACACTGTTTTCACCACCGCACAAATCGAAAATGATAAAAGGTTGATTTCATTATTTAAAACAAAATTTACCTGTGGAATTAAATGATCCTGCACGAATCTGCCTTTCCTTTCCTAGATGGTGGTGTTGCCAGGGCCGATTCTGCCGAAGGACAGAGGCGCGAAGGCGGATGCGTGCATCGAGGGGTTGGAGGCGGCGGGGGCGGTGGTGGTGAGGAGCGAGTCGATGGTGAAGCCGGACTTGAGGGCGGCGGCGGCCTTGTGCTGGTAGAGGGTGGGCACCGGCCTGAGGGGCGGCAGCGGCGGAGGCGGGCGGAGGCCGAAGAGGTGCGGCGGGGGCGGCGGGGGCAGGAAGGCGAAGGGCTGCAGGTGGTGCAGGAAGAAGTTGTGGACCGGGGGCTGGAGGTGGTGGTGGTGGTGGTGGCTCATCGGGGGCGGGTGGCGCTTGTAGCGCTTGCGGCGGCGCAGGAAGCTGCCGTTGTCGAACATGTCCTCGGCGTTGGGGTCGAGGGTCCAGTAGTTGCCCTTGCCGGGGTTGCCGGGCTCCCTGGGGATCTTGACGAAGCAGTCGTTGAGACTCAGGTTGTGGCGGATCGAGTTCTGCCACGCGGGGAACTTGTCGCGGTAGTACGGGAAGCGCGCCATGATGAAGTCGCAGATGCCGCTCAGGGTCAGCCGCTTGTGCGGACTCTGCAGGATGCCCATCGTGATCAGGGCGATGTACGAGTACGGCGGCTTCACGCTCTTGCCCCCTGCTTTCTCCTGCTGCAGCTTCCCATCCTGGCCATCCTCACCCTGCAGGCAACACCCTTCGTCCTCCTGCTCCGAAGAACTGTCCACGTTCACGTCCGAGTCGGACGAGTCTGCCGGGGGCGGCTCGACCGGGGGCGGCACGCCGCACGCTCGCCACTGCACGCTCATGGTCTGTCTGCTGCTCTTGTTGTCGTCGCCGCGCACTTGCCACCGGCATTGATTGGCCCCGCGTGCTGCGGACGACCGAGACCGCCGCCGCCGACCAGGCCCCGCCTCCAGGGGTGAGTCTCAACCCACGGAGGCGGAGCGCGGCGCATCCTCTTGCCAACTATAACGTGAAAGGGGTCACACTCTTGCTCATTTGCATTTTCAAACACATTTTTCAATTACATAAATTAGCTTGTTTTGAGGCGTGAACAACTGAACAGTAGAATATTAACTTCAAACTAGAGCATAAGGGCAAAAAAATGCTCTTTCATTCTGCTAAAATCACTTGATTTACACTCAAAATGATTGAAGAATATTTTTCTTCTTTCATGGTAAACAAAACAATATTTCGAATACTTTTTTTTAATATTTAAGCACTGTTAAAATTTTATACACGAGCCAATTAATGTTAGTGCAGAGTGTCACACCCGTATGAATGCATTCAAGCTCTCTGAGCCTGCTGTTGGTTGAGTAGGCAACCCGTGCATTCACTGTGCCACGCTGGTTGCATAAACGGATGAGAATATTTTCAATTTTCCTATTTCATGCATATACCAACGCGCTATGAAGTTTATTTATCACTTGAATTTTGTTGATATTAAATTAAGTAATAAAAGGTATTTTTTTCTTATTTTTAGGTAATATTTTATAGAAAAAGGTCATTTCGGTGTCCAAACAGAAGCAAGTATAAATTTAATTTTTTTTATCACTGATTCATGTTTCTAGCAGATAATTTTCTTTTAAAAGAATTTGTTAAATTTTTTGTAAAAACCAATAAGGTAAGGTCAAAGGTCACGGGGTCAATAATCTATAAAGAAGCAAAACTAAAGAGCTCAAAATCTTATCAGGAATATAACAACGAGCCATTCCTCTTTTATCCTAAAATTTGGAGGGAAAAAGGTCAAACTCACAGTCAAACACGCATCATTACGAATTTTCAATCAAAATATCCCAAATTAAAACCTATTAATAATGGAAATTAATCAAAATTAAAACCTAGTAAAAAGCTTTCCTTTAGAACTATTAAAGCATTACCTTTTTCCCATCTAAATAATTAAATATAAAGTATTAACAAATTTCTATGCAGCAGATTTTTTTAATTTTTTTTTCTCGATTTTCAGCCAACCGTCAATTTGAATTAAAAGGTCACAAGGTTGCCAGAAGTGACCTTGATCTTTTAAGTTTTTCGTTCAAAACATAAATCGTCTGCAATGAGGCGATTCCAAAATTGTCCCAGGAAATTAATATTAATGTTTTACACTGTCCGAAAGCTGAGAAAAATTGTTTTGAAACTAAAAAATTCCAAATTTTAATCTTATAAAATTGAGATTTTATGTAAAAAAATTTAAATTTTTTATTTCTTTTTGTGAACCTTAATACAGTTACTACTTCTGCTGAATTTTATAGAATTTAATGTCGCGTTTCGCAATAATGGAGTTTTTATAATTATGTGCTTTGATTTTTTTTTTAATCGTAAGAGTTTATTCTTCTTTAAAATCACTGATCAAAAAAGAGCAGCCTTTGAACCGCCGAGATATCGGTTTAGAGATCTGATAGCACTTTTTGTTGTTTTTGCGTAGCCAGCAACAATGAGCTTATCTGTGAGCGATATAGACGAACATGAGATGTGTTGCTGACAAAGTTATCGCTGGTAAGTTAAGGTCGTGCGGCGCTCTGTCGTGGAGAGAGGGGGGAACATCGTATCTTTTCTCTCTCGGGATACTCGGCAGAGAGGACGCGTGAATTAGAGAGAAACAGATTGCAGAAGAAGGTAAAACGGGAGGCGATTGAGCTGCTGGTACAGTTAGCGGACTCGTCGAGCCAAGAAAAACAGTCCAACCTGCACCAGCATGAGGAAAACGGTGCAACTTACAACGCATGGTAAGTAAAATAATTAATATTTAAATTTGTTTAAAATTTGTCTTTTTAAAATTCCACTTTTAAATTATTTAAAATTGAAGAATTTATTTTTAACGAGTCTACAGATGAAAAATTACCTCATTAAGGTTGGTCTTAAAATTAAAATAAAAAAGTTAATTAAATAGCGTAATTGCTACTTTTTTCCTTCGTTTTATATTTATTTGTTCTTTTTTATTTTATTAGCTCTAAATAAAAAATAGTGGCCTGCACTCAACGGACGCTCACACGATCCAATTAGAATGCATTAAAGAGCATGACTCGCTAACACTCTTGCGATAACAGCGCTTTGCATTAAAACTCGTGACTTCAGGCAACTCCCTTGAGCATTAATTTTTAATTTACGCTACATGATTTTCAACTTGGCATCTTCCCTCTCCCAGCAATCATTATTTCGAATACTTTTTAATTAATGATATACATACTATATATAAATTTTTTTTAGATTCGTACCATTTATATCCAATTAATTAGAATTTTTAATTTTATATCTTAAAAAATAGCTCTGTTTTGACTGTGCAAAAGGCATAAAAGCAATTAATGCATGAATTATGCAGCATTATGCAGGTTATTCAAAATTAAATCAGACGCTAACTTTTCCTTTCTAGAAACAAGACTGACATTTTTCATTAGCCTCTAGAACCGGTTATTATTTCACTCCAACGCACGTCTGAGCTCCTAAAGAATTCTTTATTAATGTGCGAGCGCCCATATTCCCGCGCCCAATAAATAACTTTTCTTTTGTTGTGTGAACAAGGAATCATTTGATATGGGTTGTCAAATTAAGGCGTACAATGGTGTTTCTGACTCGCAAGTGACGAACGCGTTCATAAAAAATTGCTATCTCATTTTTCCGAGACATGCTTTGGCGAGAGTGGTTCATCCTCACGTGTGTTAATTGAGAGAGGCTTGTTTTAAAAGATAATCAGATTTTATCTTCCCATTAAAATCGAATAAGAGCCAAAGGGTAATTCTTCCTCTTCTCTCCTCGGCGACCTTGATATTTGATCTTGTGCAAGATTGCGGCTAAAATTAACTTCGGAATTTAGCTGGGAGCATTTTTTCTTTTCATATTTAAATATTATATTGTAAAAATTTAGACTTCCTTATTTGGTGTGATCAACTCATGTGATTATTTAAAAACTGAAAGCAGTGCTGTTTTTTTTTTTTCAATATGTTTGGAAAAAAATAAAGAGATATAAGAATTGAAGAGCTCTGTTTGAAGACAAAAGACCATGGTAAACCACAATGTATGACTTTTAAGTGAGAATACCTTAAAATTGCATTCACTTGAGCACAGAGCTTTTTTTCATTTATCGAGGCAAAGCATGCCGCGTGAAAACCCAAACTTGAACTTGTATGTTAATACATTGGCAAATAAGAAGACTCATAAAAATTGTAGCCACATGTTTTTCAGCAACATAAGCGAATATTTGAAGCCAGTTTTTATTTTTATACTTCTTATATGTATATAATTATCAATTTATATTTAGTTATAATTCTAATTTCAGTAAGTAAGTAAACATTAATTAAGTGTAAGCGTTCAAATTTGTAGCAATAAAATAAAGAATATTTCTTGACAAAATTCAAATTCAAAGAAGTTAAATTTTGCGCACGATTTTCTGTTCAATTTCAATTATTTCACCCCTCCCCTCCCCTCTAATTTTGTTGTTTTTAGTGAGTTGTACACAAAATAGTCAGTTGTGGTCAATTATTAAATTTTAACATGGTTCATTCAGCTTACAATTAAAAAATTCGTGCTTATTAGATTATTTTGGCCGAGCAGCACAAAAAGATTTTAAATATCGATTAAAATTTTTAATAAATTACAGCAAGAAATCTCATTCATAGGCAGATTTTATTTAGTTAGTTTTTTTAATTACAGTTGGCCTCCGTTAATATTAAACAAAAAAGGTTTTCTCCCTACCCCAAATATATAAAATAAACTGTAAGGGTTCTAATTTTGCCGAAATTCGCCCTCAAGGTCAAATTAGTTTGTTTTGTTGAATTTAATGAAATTAACTATTTGAAAGAAAAAAAACTAAATTATTTTGTTCATTTGGAAGAACAAAAAATAAGTGTCTGATTAAAACAAAAATTGGAGCGCTAAATATGATTGAATGATTTTTCAGATGAGAAAAAGGGCAGTCGGCCGAACCTGTTGCTGCCCGGACACAAGCGAGCGGGCGGTCGGTTGCTGGTGGACGTGGTGGGCGAGTACCTTTTTGAGACGGGCGCGATTTTGCTCTCCTTCCTGATCGCGCGCAACTCGATCGCTTGGATTTTGGAAACGGCGTTTGGACTGGGTCCCGATTTTTGGCAGCTCCAGTGGCAAACCCTGGTCGACCGAAACCTCGACCCCAAGTTCTACCTTGTGTGGGGCGGCCTTACAGTGTCCCTGTCCGTCTATTGGATCTGGGGCGGTTTCTACTGCGTCCTCGACAGGACCGGCTGGCTCTCCAGGTACAAAGTCCAACCTGGCACCAACTTGCCCCCGGACAGAGAAAAGTTCATCAAGGTATCGCCTTAACTGACCACTTTTTTAACAATCTTTTTTTTTCAAGCTGCATTTTTGAAATCATTATTGGCTGACATATGCAAATTTTCTTTCCATACAAGGCTGTGGTGCACGTGTTGTTCAACCAGTTTGTTGTGTCGATCCCAGTGGCAATCGCAGGATTTTACCTGACCCAAAGCAGCGGCCGACTGCTCCCGATCGAGCAACTGCGGATTTTGCCTTCATTCTACAGAGTTCTGCTCGAGCTGCCTTTCCACATTTTTTGCCAAGAAGTCGGCTTCTATTACAGTCACAGGTAATTTTATATAGTTTTAGTTTAATTTTTTACCTTCTTAAAATTTATTTTGTAAATCATTCGTTCTTCAGAGAAGAAATCATTAATTAAAAGCTGCTGGAGATGAAAAATGAATTCTTAAATTTAAATGATGGATAAATTAAACAATGCGTTTTTATCACTTAATTCACAATAATATACTCCACTTCTCTCGTCAGTTAAAAATTATGGCTAAATTGATTTTGATACTAAATTTATCTCTTCAATTTCTATGTCGTTTGCTGTTAGTCATTTACATTTGTATGCATGATACATTATAGAGATATCCTAAAAGCGGCGCCTTGAATTAAAATTGAATATAATTTAATTATAATTATTAATCAAACATTTCAAAAGGACAGATTTCAATTAAATTATTCCAGTATACAAATTGAATAATTAAAAAAAAAAATTTAAAATTTTTGCACAATCATGTCTTAGTATTTTTTGATAAAAATTTAATTTATTTTTAGTTTTAATAAAATTAATCAAAAATATATTTTACTATCGCAGTCAAATAATTAATTAAATCTTTTCATTAATTATAAATGGCAATGTGTGGTTGATTTTTCAAAATGATGAAAAACTATTTTTTAACACAAAAAGTTCTGAAATTTAAAAATAAATTTGGGACGGGGGGAATCTTCTAATCTGGCCAGTGTACCTTTAAAACCTCTGATCTGCTAGCAAACTAAGTTTGATATACTTAATTGTGGATTTTTCGATTAACTTTCAAATTTTTAAATTAAATTAAATTAATTTTGTTATTTTTTCTAATATTTTAGTACTTACAATTTAGAAAAATAAAACAATTTTACATCGCATACTTGAATAATTATTAAAACTTTCCAAAAGTGGTAAAAATTTTCATAAATTTTTTCATAATTATTAAACAAACAATGTCGTTATTTACCGATTTCTAGGTGAAACCAAAAGAAATGTTTGGCATCTCTGAGCCGAAATGAGATCCAGCTGATTTTTGATAACTCAAATATTTTTGTACTCACCGCAGAGATGTGTGTTGATTGATGTTGCAGGTTGCTGCACCACAAGTCAATCTACAAGCACATTCACAAGAAGCACCACGAGTGGACGGCGCCGGTGGCCATCATGGCCGTTTATGCGCACCCCCTGGAGCACGTCTTCTCGAACGTTGTGCCGGTGATCATCGGGCCGGGCATCCTGGGTTCGCACCCCGTGTCGGCGTGGTTTTGGTTCGCGTGCGCAATCTTCCACACGATCAACACGCACTCGGGCTACCACCTGCCGCTGCTGCAGTCGCCAGAGTTCCACGACTACCACCACCTCAAGTTCAACCAGAACTTCGGCGCCATGGGCCTGCTCGACCACGTGCACGGCACCGACGCCCAGTGGCGCCAGACAAAGTCCAAGCAGCGCCACGTGTCCCTCTACTCCACCACGCCCATCAACCGGCTCATCCCAGACAACAAGGGGGACTGAGTGACCCCGGGTCTCCCCTAGAGGTCAGCCGTGGAACTATTTGTGATTTTGCAGACAATAATTGTAAAAATATATTAAATTTTGCTTGTAATTCTATTGTCTTAAACTTTTGCCTAGTCAACCAACAATTGAATTTGGAATTGCGATGTTCCTTTGTACAGATTTTTATAATGGTATTTTTATGTAAAAAGAAAGGTGATAAAATTAAAATTTTGTACAATATCAAAGTGTGTGTTGATTGTGGAATTTCTTTGTACTTTCATAATCCAAAGAGTTTTTTTTTTTTGCAAATGTAAAGTGCATATATAGGGATTTTTTTTATATAAAAACTGATTCTCTGAGAATTATTGCATTCTCAATTTACTTCATTAGATATATTTGCACAAAAATGATTTTTTTTTCAAGTGCTAACGGTGAACAGAATAAATGAAAATGTGAGAAATAGTTTTCGTTATCAAAAAGATACTTTTCTCACTACAAAATATTTTCAAATTTAAATTAATTTAAATTATGCATTATTTGCATAATTATCATAAACAATTATTTTCCTTTTATAGTCCCTTTTAATTTTTTTATTTTTACTACAAATAGGAGAAAATAATTTTAATTAAAATCATAACTTATTACGCATTATAGATGCTTCAAGAAGAAATTGTATTTGTCAACGCACGCAGAACCGGTTCACCGCGTCTGACTGTCGCTCTCGTCCGCAATTAAATGAGATATGCGTCTCGCTCGCGGCAATATAGCATAACGTAGAGAAATTTATCATTTTTTCTTCTCGTGAATATATAAATTCAAGAGCCACTTTTACACATGGAATTAAGTAGAGAAATAGACAACGCTATTTGTTTCATGAAATAAATGTGCGTGCAAAGCGAACCTTTTTCCACTGATAAGCAAATCAAATCTCTCACGCGTGAAACTAGCATGACGCGATCAGATTTTTTTTTTATTATTGATATAAGAAGAGCATTTAATATTGTTTTGGACAGAGAAATTTTCAACACAGAGGTGAGCACGCATTTCATAGGATGCTTTTCAACTAGGACCGTTTATACGTGCCATGCTCTGTTGGACCTGAGCAGCTTTTGTTGTTAGACAAAATAGAGAAAGATTTTAGAAGGAAAAACAAACAATTATACTAAAATAACCTTGCGATTAAAAATAATAATATAATAATTGAGAACTGACAAACACAAACTTAAAGGATTTATGTGAATTGTAGTCGCTTGAGAAAATAATTCTTTGGCAGCAGGTTTTTTTACGGTCGTTGCGCGGACACAAAATTATGTCACTCTCACACCATTGATTATTTTTTTTTTATTAATTTAGAGAGCAGGAAATGAATTATGCAGATCACATTTAATTCTAATCGACCGCACACGAGTAGCTGCGGTCAATGAACAGTGCAAAAAGGAGCTGCAAAAAACATTTCCACTGTATGATTTACTATATATTTTTAAGATTTTAACCGCAAAGCACGTGGGACAGCTTCTGGAAGTTTCTCTTAAAGAAAAACGTCCAAAGTGTTAATCTGTGCATTTATTTTAACGCTATAAAGTAAAAATAATGCAATAGGCTGTAAACGTGTGAGCTTGGCACGGCGTTTGAAGGAGTAGCGGGGGCCAAATTTTCACGCCGTGGAATATGAGCACCACTTTCGGTCTTATTTAGTTCCACGCCGCTCTTGCTTGTTGATTGACAAGGAAAATATCAACTCCGACGAGCTTTATATTAATCATAGGGTGCAGTTGTGACCAATTATCGGGTTCGAAAAATCAGTATGGCTGTCAATGAAGGTCAGTTTAGTTTTATTCTAAGATTCAGCAAGTTCAAAATATAGAAAATTTTAGCAATGGCCGGTTTTTTTTCACAAAATAAGCAATTGTTTTAATTAAATGAATTTCAGAACGAAAAGCAAATAAAAATTTTATTTTCATCTACATTTTACTGCGTTTTACTTAAAATAAATGTGATCATCTTGTAAATGACTAATTTTATCTTATTAATACTTTAGTTTTAAACTTGTTTTTAACATTCGCTAGAAATTATTAAGTTTTTGATGATTATAGCAGATTGAGTAGCCAAAAGTTGACACCTATTCTAAATTCATTATGTTAATTTTATAATAATAATTGCAATTACTTAAAAAGAGAAGAATATCATTTCATTTTTTAACCAATGTAATATTTTATTAACATTATGACAATGCAGCAATTTATCCATCTATCTGTTAAAGGTTTAATGACACACAAAAATGTCAATTTATTGGTCAAGAATTTTCCAATTTTGATATATTAAAATAAGAAATTGCACATTTCATGTTGTTTAGGCCTTGGGGCTGGATTGCGTTGGCAGACGGCCTGTTCTGACCTTATCGCGACTCTTCTATCCATCGAACTTCATCTGCTGGCAATCAGCAACTCTCTCCGCTGGTTAGTTTTAATAAATTGTACTCACTCTTTCGTAATCATAATTATCTGTAATTATTGCCATAGGCAGCTCGCGGAACCTATATTCATTTGTAATTATTGGAGTTTGGTGCTCATTTGCATTTTATTTAGATTAATAATTTTAGCTATCTTCAAAAACTCCTATCAAAAGACATTTTTATTGAAAGGCTATAATTATTTTTTGTTTAGGTTTGTACACTCTATTTTAAAAATCCCTGAACATTTGTTTGAAAATGCATGGCAAAATTTGGTGGAAAAATTTGCTACTCAAGACGATCAGATGACGTTTCTTGTATCAGGTAAAGATTTGATTAAAATAATATTTTATACCTGAAATCTGACTAATTTTCCCATCACAGGCACACTTTTGGTGTCCGTCGTCGTGTACTGGGTGTGGGGCGGTTTCTACGTCCTGCTCGATCTGACGGGCTGGCTCTCCAGGTACAAAGTGCAGCCAGGGACGAACCAGCCCTTGGACCAGGGTCGCCTGGTCTCTACAATCCTGAGAGTGATTTTCAACCAGACAATAGTTTCTCTCCCCGCCGCCGTGATCGCGTTTTACTTGGCCAAGTTCACAGGTCGCCTACTGCCCTTCCGAGACCTCATACACGTCCCACCCTTTTCTCAGGTCCTCCTTGAGATGCCATTGCTCATTTTGTGCCACGAGTTTGCCTTTTACTACAGTCATAGGTGAAAAACAAATTATATAAAATTATACATCCCAAGTTGACGTATTTCTTGTTTTTTTTCTTAGTGAAATTCAATAGATAATTGCTTGTACTTTAAAATTTGGTGATTTATTCTGATATTAAAGATTTTAATCAAGTCCTATAAATTGCTAATTGAAATTAAATATTCAGCATGAAAATTACTAAAAAAAAAAGATCAACTCTAATTATAAGTAAAAAATTTACCAATACATACCAATATATTAGTTTTTTAAGCGTAAACAATTTAAACAGATTTATTATTATTTTATGGCAATTTTTTTTTATATAATATTGATATTAAATACTATTTAGTTCAATTGGTTTTTTTTTTAATAGAAAGAAAATAATTGAAGTTTTTATTTAAAATATGTTGTATAATTTATGATGAAAAAATTTTTATTTTAACAGATTGTTGCACCAGGGATGGTTGTACAAGACGATCCACAAGCGGCACCACCAGTGGACGGCGCCGATCGCGGTCGTCGCCGTCGACTGTCACCCCCTGGAACATGTGCTCGCCAACATTGGCCCCGTGTTGCTGGGCCCCGCGCTTTTGGGCTCGCACCCCCTGACGGCGTGGTTCTGGTTCGCCTACGTCACCTTCCAGACCCTGAACGGCCACTCAGGCTACCACTGGCCGTGGTTCCAGTCGCCTGAGTTCCACGACTTCCACCACCTCAAGTTCAACTGCAACTTCGGCTCGATCGGTTTCCTCGACCACTTGCACGGCACAGACTCGCTGTGGAGGAAAAGCGACCAGTTTGGCAGACACGTCGTCCTCAGTGGGCTGCAACCGGCTGTACACAATTTACCTCAAAAAATAAAGTGACTAATTCTGTCGACGAAAAACTGATTTGAAATACTTTTGAAAGTTTATTGATTTTATAATTTTTATAGAAAATTTAAAAATAATATGTGAGTAAAATTGCATTATACGCTTATTATACATGAAGCCGCGTGTTTATTCCGCGCCGTGGCGGCAGCACACTTTTGAATTAACGCGTCTGCAATACTATTGCAAACTTTCCCCGTAAGAGGTCTCGTAGATTAACTATTCGTTCACAACGTTCACAATTCTCACTTCAACTCTGTGACAATTCAGAGTCCAGAAGACACCAGGCAATAAATGAGTTGTCTGACATAGAATGGATCATAGTTCATCTGATAATTGATATTTTTTAGTTCCACAATATAAGTAGGCAAAAAATATTTCAAATTGACACATTAATTAATTAATTAAAAATATATCATTTTAATATAAGGATTATCAGTTAATTAAATAACTAAAATAAAATTTTAAGGATTTATTATAGTATTTTTGTTTTAATATTTATGCATATTTAATAATTATCAAATATATTATTTTGTATTTTCATTAACACACCATTTTATATTAAAATTGGACATTACCAATAATACGGGGAGGATTAAGGTTAGTGTTAAAATAATTGACAGAACAAAAAATAAATAAATCGTTTTGATTAAAAAATTATGAATCTTTTGGAAGTCCAGTTAAATCATCAGATGTTGTGACAAAATAGGATTGGCGTAATCTACCTCAACCCACTCAAGAAAACGCGTTGAAAAAATGATAGTTTCATTTCATTGTCTATAACTCTATATATAATTATGGGCATTATGGCCAACGGTTTACTAAACTCGCCAATTCAGCTATAATTCAACTTTCTATATGAGCTGTAACAGGGTACGTGATAAACATAATGTAAGAATGAGACTAAAAATCACAATAAAATATTAATATCCTTGCAAGCGATAAAAAAATTAAAGTTCAAATCCTTTTAATACAAATATTGAAACTTGAAATTATTCTTGACTTTAAATAAAATTGTAATAAATTGGTGCATTATTTAATTATATAGTATTAGTAAATATTTTAAACCAGTTTTTGTGGTGGTTTTTCTATTGAAAGCGAAATTATAATTTATGCTGTAAAGAACTTCAATGAATACACTTAAAGGAAATAATTACATTTTGGAGAAGAATTTATACAATTTTAAAACATTGAGAAAAAAATTAAATTTTTTTATATGCGCAGTAATTAATTTTTCGATTTTTTCGTGCTGTCGTTACGAATTTTTTAAATTTATAGATTGATTATTGCTATTTTTCGTTTGTGGAAAATATTATACATATTATTTTTCTCTCACTATACACAGAAGAAGACGCGATCGTTAATTTTATGTGAACTCTTTTTGCGTCTACGTCAGTCACTCTAAGCAAATCAAAAGTAATAAAGTTGCTTTTGTCTTGATAATAAGTTGATGGAAATTGCGGTAACGACGTGATTATGATCATTTTCTAGGCGCGTAAAAGAAGAAAACTCTAGAATTTATTGAACCGGAAAAATGCAGTTAAATTTTTAAAGGTCATACTTTTTGTCAGAGAACTGCGGTGTTTAAAAAAGTAATATATGCACATATTTTCAGAACAATTAAGTGATCTGAGGGTTCAATCACCTTTCTTGGGCTCAAAATAGCAATTGGGTTTGTAATCAGTCGAATGCATCGATCGGTGGTCGACGAGAAAATTTGCACGTAGTCCCCGAGCTGCAGCGGCGTCGGCAACAAGCGGCGATCGCTTCGTTGGTTATTTATCCATCGGAGCGGCTATAAGGTCATTAAGGCCATTGCGAAGAGGAAAACTGGTTTGCCAGACTTGGTTTCAAAATATACATATATCTGTTGTATGTGCGGCGCGTGGAATAAAAAAAAATAAGAGAGCTGCGCCGATCGCCATGATCATTCCACCACTCGCCGAGGCCCCCGACGGTCCTATCTTTTACTCTCTTCTCTGCATGCGCCGCGTTCCCTCACTTTTTATGAGCTGTGAATCCAAGTTTATAATTGTGCCATCTAGTCAACTGCTCCCTGATCTCATTGCCGTGGATTACTGTGCAGGTAACGCGACTTTTTCCCCCGTTTCCGACCGCAGAAGCATCTCGAACAAAAAGGTCTTCGAAATCATCTAAAATGATCCGTTCGGCTGTAAAATTTTCTTCCGATTCTCAATTGAAAATTTGAGCCTCTAACTTTGATTAAAAATGATGAAATTTATTCAAGTATTTGCATCAGATTTTAATTTGTAGGCACGCAGGTTTTAATTTGTGTACAACCATTATTTTAATTCTATTTTTTTTTATATTTTCATGTTTACGAATTTTAGCGTTTAATTACGATAATGACCCTCACGTGGCCATCTTTGCTCGTTTAACTTATTTTTAGAGCCGACGAGAGACAAAGTGCAAAAAGCAAAGTTGCGTCATGAGGGCGCTTTAAACCAACTAAAATAAAAAAAGATTTTATTAAATTTATTTCGATGGCCTCTAAATTTTCAACTTTATTCTAATTGTTTGTCCTTAAGTTCAGTAACCTTAATCCTTAATCTTTTTGTCTTTTCGTCAATTGGGGCAGAGCGCGTGTGAATTTGATGTCAAAGTACACGCGTTTTTTTTTAGGTTGCCAAGCCCTACGTCGACCTCCGATGGCTTCCATCCCACAAGGCGCGTTCGCCAGCTACAAGATAAGGGCGAACGCTCAGAAAGAAAAGCAGAACAACGACTGGCAGGGCAAATACAATGACACCAAGGGCTCCTCAAAGGGCTTCAAAGAGTACTTTGGCCTGCCGCAATTCAACGGCGAATGTGAGTGACGCGCGGTTCTTATCTTAATTCTCACTTATTTTTTTATAAGAATATCTAAAAAATTCTGACGATTTTTACAAATTCCAGTGCTTGCAATTTCGCCTGCCAAGTACAATGAGAAGCTGATGAAAAGCATCTGGGGACAGTACAACAGATACTCTGTCCACAATTTCAAGCAGATTAAGGGAGATGCAGTTGCCTATGGCAGGCAGCAGCTTCCGCAAGTTGACGAAATGTAATTATATATATATATTTTTATTTTTTATTGGAAACTAATTTTACTTTTATCAGGATCGTCAAAAGCGTGTCTGCCTGCCTGACCAACCCCACATTCTTGGTCAACAAAAGCGGATAAAACCGCTTTGTTGACCGACAATGTACAACACCGTAGAAAAACAAGGGTTTATTCTTCTGAAATGCCATATTAGCTTTTTTATATTTCATATGCAGAGAATAAACAGTAGAAGGGTTCAAAAAACCTAACGCTGACTGCTTATTTCGCTCTTTAAAACCAGCCACCCTTGATTAAAATTAAATTTTCCAATTATAATTCTAAAATATTTCTAGTCTTCATTGATTAAGCTAAGGGTCAAAATTAAGATATTTATTAGTACCATAATTAAAGCAAATATTTTTCCAGTGTGCAAAATTTAGAATTAATTTATCCTTGCAAAAACCGCTAATTATTTTCTCTTTTAAAAAAGTCTTTTTTTTATTTATTTAATTTGCTTTTTAATTTAAAAGAAATGTATGCTTTTTCCGGTAGAACTAGTAATGTATTTGCTCTTGGAATTTTAAATTCCGAACCAGAGTGTTGAAAGCAAATTTTATTCAATGCAAATCAAATAGTGATAGAAAGTTAGAAACACATCCGGCCACGTGCCAATTCTGAATTTCCCGCCCTCTTTTAGTTCATTGGACTGCCGAAAGATGGCGAAATCTCCTCTCTTGCGAAGTCAAATAAAATCGAAAGTAAACAAAAATTTGGACAAAAGTCCAAGTCGTTTGACGTTAAATTTTGGCTCTCGTTCCGCTTCGGACACAGAATGACCGACTCAGACAGCAGCGGCGACGAATGTTCGCTTCAGAAGTGCAGAAAACCCGCGTTCGTCTTTTACCGGAACCGAGAGGACTGGAAGGACGTGGTGCCCATTCCGCAAAACGACGGGCCCAACCCGGTCGTCGCGATCAACTACTCGGACAAATGTGAAAAATAAATGATTCAAAATATTTAAAAAATTAATTTAAATCATTTTGATTCAGTCAAGGACGTGTACGACTATTTGCGGGCGGTGATCGCCAAGCAGGAAAAGTCCGAGCGGGCCCTCGGCCTCACCGAAGACGCCCTCAACCTCAACCCTGCCAATTATTCCGTCTGGCAGTACAGGTCAATTAATACCTTAAATCTCTAATTAAAGCTGAATCAAAATTTCCAATCAGGCGAGAAATCCTGAAGCATTTAAAAGTGGATCTGCGGAAGGAACTCGCGTTCAGCGCCAACATGATTCACATTCACCCAAAAAACTACCAAGTCTGGTAAGACTTTTACTTTTGAATTTCTTATTAAACTGATTATGGTGATCTCAGGTACCATAGAAAGGCTATAGTGGAAATGCTGGGCGATCCGTCTTGCGAATTCGAGTTGACGAGAAACGATCTCGAGTACGACAGTAAAAACTACCACGCCTGGCAACACCGTCAGTGGGTCATTCAAACCTTTGGGTATGAAATTCTAAATTTAGTCTTTTTTTAATTAAATATAACTAATTAATTCTTATCAAAATAGACTTTACGATGCAGAGATGGAACTGTGTAATAATTTAATTGCGGCCGACGTGAGAAACAACTCTGCCTGGAATCACAGATATTTTGTGGTCAATAATACAACCGGGTTCACTCCCGAGGTGATTGTCAGAGAGGTCGACTACACCCTGGAGCAAATCAGCAAGGCCATTCAAAACGAAAGCGCATGGAATTACCTCCGAGGGTGAGGAAGAATTAATTTATTAAAATTTTATTATAACTTGAGTAAAATTTTGAAGGCAATGCCTGTCATTGGCAGCTTTAAATCTCTTTAATTTTTTTTGTAATTCTAGAATTATTTTTAAAAACAGGAAATTCAAATTCCTTATATATTTATAGTAAATTTTATAAAATTTTAAGATATCAAATTTTACCCCATTTTTTTGGCAGTGTTTTGGAAAAGTCTCAGGATGGAGTTGCTGGAAATAGAAAAGTGAACACTTTCTGCGAAAACTTAATCAGGTCCAACGATATTTCAACGCAACTCTTGGTTTTCCTGATTGACGTCAACATGGCCCGCGCCAAAAGTGATTCCCTTGCGGCCGAGAAAGTGAAAGAGGTAAATTATTCCTAAGATAAAATAACTTGATATTAAATTATTATATAATTTTAGCTGTGTGCCATGTTAGCCAATGACGTTGACCCAATTAGGAAAAAATACTGGAACTATTTGGCCCAGACAGTGTAAATTGTAAGATCCCTTTTGATTCCATTTATAAATTTTGTTTAAATTTGCCACATCGATTGTTTACTGCAGCAACCGATCAATAAAGAAAAGGTTCTGATTATTAATTTCAATTATATTATTAATAAATTTAACGACATGAATTGTAATTATAACTGAAACTTGAAGATTTGTTGCGGGGCAGTCGGGGTATCAGTTTTGAGCAATAACACGTCGGCAACATTAGCCGGTCACGTTTTTTGCCACCAGATGAGGTCATTTGATCCGAATATCACGCGGTCCCATTTCCAAGATCAAATTGCATGTCACATTGATAGTGAAAAGTGAGAGAAGGCCGATTTACACTGCAAAAATACTCTCTTTTTATTTGGCTATCCTTTGACTTAAAAACAAAAATAAGGCGCTTTCATTTTTCCTCCTGAATCTGCAGTTCCAATAAAGACGCTGACTCCGGGCCTTTGGTTATTTGAACACCTGGAATTGATAGAAATATTAATTAGTCACTAAATTGGGATCGGCTTAAATGGAATAAAATTTAATTGGAACATTATAATTTATTTCTAAAAGAACGATAAAAATAATGTGTAAATATTAATTTCATAAAAATTAAATGTACAAAGTCAAATTAAATTGAACTGTTCCTTTAAATTTAAATAAAAATATTTATTATATTGATTTTTTTTTTTAATTATTACCGTTTGTTGTGGGCTGCTGTTTCTTGAAGCAGTGCATGACTGAGAGGGCGAGTCCTCCGAGAATGGAAGGCAGTCCTGAGAGGAGGAAGGCGAGTTGGTAGGAGGCAGTTTTGTCGTAGAGGATTCCGGCGAGGGGCGGCCCGAGGGTCATCGGAATGGCCATGAGGCCCAGCAGGAAGCCGATGGCCTGCGGCGCGCCCTCCTGGCCGCACAGGTCGAACGCGATGGGCCCGATGAGGCTGATGAAGCAGCCGTCGAAGATGCCGATGCCCAGCACCAGGGCGATCATCCACGGCCACGACGGCGCCCACACCAGCAGCATCGTCATTGCGCCCATCGAGATAAATGAAACCTGTTTTATTTTTTATTTTTATTAAGCCCATTATTTACTTTTATTTCACACCTGCTGCAGCAAAATGCGATTCACCCTTGGCAAGTCGCCAATTTTTCCAAACAGCAGCCGACCCACGCCTGACGTGAGGCCGACGCACATGATCAGGATCGTCCCATCCTCGTTCGGGAATCTTTCCTCTACAAATTTCACCTAAAAAAGTTTCAGAATAATTTAATATAAATTTTAAGTAATTTGAAGATTAAAATTTGGGAAGTTTGGTTGATTTTAAAAAGAAAAATGGTGCAATTTTTACCATAATCGCCATAATAAAAATGGAACTGAAATTTTTATACGTATGTGCTAATCTGAACTGATCTGAAAAGATGAAGAGCGGTCATATTTTAAATTATTGTTTCTCTTGAAAATAATTAGGAAAATTAAAAAAAATTTAAATTTTTATATAAATATTATGCTTTTAAAAAATTAAAAATTTACATCTGATTAGTTCTAAAAAAATTTTGAAACAAAATGCTTTAAATTTTATTCAAAAATATAATTAAAAAAAAAATCTTTGAAAATATTGTAAATAATCAGATTTAATATTTAATTAAACCCTCAAACTTACACAATTAATTAAGAGTTTTATTTGATATCATATTTGTATATTTTTCTTTCAACCTGTGGTGCGCTTGGAAATTACCATGTGAACATAAGGCACAAAGTACCCGAATAGGGAGCAGGGGATGCAGATGGTCCAGATGACGTATCTCTTCTCCTTCCAAATGGCCCAGTTGACAATGGCCTGTTTTTTATTCGATGATTTCACGGGCGCTCCTTCGGGAGCGGTGAACAGGAATCCGGCCGCCGCCAATCCTGCCATCGCCACAGCCAGGCACCGCAGCGTCCATGGAAGGTCGAAGTGCGCGAGGAGGTAACCCAGCAGCGGCGGTAGCGTGATCGTGAACACCGAGCTCCCTATCAGATTTACGTGCCAAGCAAAAAATTAATTGCGGTTCACGTCTGCATTGTTAAAAAAAAGTAATAAAAGACTTAATTACAATCAGAGATTTCAATAAAAAATTAATTAAAATTTTACGATTACTGAATATATTGATAAAAATTTGAAATGTAAATTTCACTTGAAAATATAATAATTACAGATGAAATTTCTTAAATAATTAATCTCTAAAACGTATTAATTAAAATTTTGCAATTTGCAATGCAAATAGAAATCACTTTTATGGTCTTGCGCTAATTAATTTCACATTAATCAAGTGATGAGTCATAGGGGAGGTTAATGTTTAATTAAGGAGAGCATCATGTACATGTGTGGCCGTGTTAAAGTGACACCCGCATGACATGTGTTTCGGCACAATCGCAGTTCACCTGTTCCTCACCTGTACACACAATGCCATTCACCAGGCCGAGGCGTTCGCGAAAATACAGTCCGAGCACGGCCAGGGAGGGGGTGTACGCGAGGGAGGCGCCGATCCCGAAAAGAATGCCGTAGGTCACATACAACGCCTCCACCTAAATAAAACATTAGTTTTGCAAGTAGTGAAGAATTGCAGGGCACACTCGAAGAGACGCGCTATTCGTCAAGTGAAAACGGACGAGCTTACAATTGTCCTCATGGAAAAATTTCATTTTTTATGAGGAAAAAAACGGCTCTGCTATAGTTTGGGTCACGGTTTGCGACCTTATTCCACAGGTAAGAAAAATTTAAATAAATCTGCCCATTTTTTGAGAAATTTATTTCTAGTTTTTTCACTTTTATAATGAATTTCGCTCCTTTTTTAATTAAGTGATAAATACCGTGTGGGTGAGAAACGAAGAAATGGTCATTCCTATCACAGCCAGGGTGCCTCCCAGAAGGGTTGTTCGCTTCAGACCAAACCTGTCAGTCAAAATGCCTGCCACCGGCGACAGGGAGAACGTGGCGCCGATGGTGAGGGAGCCCACCAGAGCTGCAAAGGAATTTGCATGGGTCGTAAAAGCGTTCTTTGTTAATTAAAATTACAACAGAGAGTGAAAGTTCTTTAGTTTCATTTCAAGAAAACTTAATTAAAAGCTCAAATTTTGGCACTAGCGAATCCGCTCCAAACTATAAAACCAAGCTGGTCTTGCAAAGTGTCAGTTAAATAATAATAATAAAAAAAATCAAATTACTTATATTTTGTATTTTGCCTGGCGATTATTTTGTACCTAAAATGCACCTGTTTACAAGTTTAATTTTATATAATTTTGTGTGTGTGTGTGTAAATTTCCATATTTTCCTCAAACGATAATTAAGTTTCAAAAGGAAATGAAAGCACAGAAGAAACACAAATTTCTATTTATTAACTTCAACATCAATATTGGTTTTGTCTAATTTAAACTAGCGCAGTGAATGAATGGCGTCATGCGCGAGTCAATTAAATTACGATTGTGTGTATTTATTTGTCTCATAGGATCTGATGCGGCCGTCATCAGTGAATCGAGCACTCGGCAGGTTTGGTAAATATTTAAAGAGGCTTCAAAATGAAGGGAGCAGTCGTATTTTTGGCTGTTAAGCTCACGCGCCAGCCAGTTAAAAAAAGAAAACTGGTCCACGTCTGTCTCCGTGAGTGTCACAAAGGAGAAAGACGAAGAGCGAGAGTCAAAGGGGTCTTGGCAGTAATTCTCAGTTCGAGAGAGCGATTCCTTCTTTACATTTGAAATCCTTTGTATACAGAAACAGTTTAGTGTTTTCGCGTGGTTTTAATTAAACACGCGTTCAAAGTGCGCCGCGCTGCGTGATTGCGCCCTCGACTCCACACTTGAGAGATTTGATTGCGCAGTTTGATCTCGGCACTTGGCAGTCTGCAAATCAATCATGACCTTATCTCCGTCTTTCTTTAAAGTGGAATATTGTCTCAAAAAGAACAGCAAAATACTAAAAGAAAGATCAAATTTTAGGTAACAAGCGAAAGTTTTTGTAACACTGACGAAAAATAATTTATAATTTGTTTGATCGCATTTGAAAAGAAAAAAACAATTATCCTGCTCTACATGTTTCGGCTACCGGCTGCAACAACTATAACTCATGAGCAGTGAAATCAGTTTAACAGAATTATTACAAAAATCAATCTTCTAAAGTAAAATTTCTTTCAAATTAACAATTTGTTTGTTCCAACCTGGTTCCAACTTTCAAAATTTTTTCGCAAAATATTGTTCATTTGACAGAAAAATATGCTAAAGATTGATTTTTGTACTAATTCTTCTCAAAATGATTTCACAGCTCATGAATTATGGCTTCAGCCCCGCAGCCAAAACATGTAGAGCAGGATATTGTTTTTTCTTAAACAACTCACAAACGAGGAAAAACCGATTTTAAATGCAAATCTCTCACCATGAATAAACCCTCCATCGGGAAATTGTACCTTAAGATTTCTTAATAATTATTTTGGTTCTAAAACAGAAGTGATGAAAAATGATAATTTTTTTTTTAATTCCCAAAACAGCTGTTTAATTAAAGCAGCTGAAAATGCTTAATTTTGTTGGCAGAAGGTTTGACCGAATTATTGCTTTGCTAATGCGATGAATTTTTAAGGGGAAATGTCATTGACCCGAGCCAAAGGGCAAAAACCTGACTGATAAGATAGCAAAATGATGCCTTCTTGCTTTGGATAAATAATAAAGTTCCGTTTTTTTTAATCAAGAATAATATTGAAAGTATTTAAGATTTAAAAATGACAAATCTCAGATAATTGACATAAATTTAGTAAATTTTGCTAATTATATTATCAATTAAATTATATGAAACATTTGTAGAGTTTAGGTGAAAATTAAATTAAATTACAAATGTTGCGCGTGCATAAAATTAGTAAAAATAAACCAAGAGCATATATGTATATGTTTATTGCGTTGCGATGGCGACATCGGGGAGTTAAGTAGAGGCGCTTGTAAAAAAAATAACACGGTTAGATATCACGATGATTGTGGAGGGCCTGTTACGTACACTCTGCTTTTATCAGCTCGCGTCCCGAGACAAGGATAGTGTTTGTATAAAACCTCCTTGTTTGTTCCAGCAAAACACACTCGTCGGTTCCCCTCCAAAAGTTTCTTTTTACACATAAAAATTAAGATTATCACGAGTTTCATCGTACAAAACACACGTCAATGGTTTGTTGCGCAGGCTGTGCAGCGTCGCAGATTCCAATTTCAAAGCAGGGCGAGAGCAGTTGACATGTGCGAAATGAGATTTGCCATTCATGCATGCATCAAAGCGTCAAATTGCATATAAATGTTTCAAATTAATTCGCTCCAAGTTGCGAGTGAAGCTGCTTAGAGACGCGCATAATTGCGGAAATTCGGTTTTTCCGTCTCCACGAATACGCCAGTGACGGGGAAACTTTAAACGAGGGGGAAATTTGCTTGCGTTGCGAAATTCGCGAGTGCGTAGGTGAAATTCTCCGACTTCAAAAACACAAACTGCTCTTTGAAGACTGCGGTGAAAATCTTTTGTGCATTTAGTTAGCGCCTTTTATTGTAACCTCAGCTAAAAAAACTGCTTTGTTTTTGTTTGCAAACTTTTCTGCGTAAATAATCATTTTTGAAGTTTGTTTAGACAGCAAAAAAAGAGAGGAAACTAAATAAATTTAAACATTGCTCATAACGAATATTTCTTGTACTTTTATCAACATTTCAGTGAATAAGTTTTAGAAAATTATCAAAGAAAAAAAAATCTGTTTTTTTAAACGTTTAAATATGGAATTCCGTATTAATAAATCTTTTGCAGGTTAACTTAATTTTTAAACTTTTGTGCATGAATTTAAAGTTTTGGTATTAAATGACGTGTGTTTAAGTGAAAAGGATTAGAATTAATAATTTCACAACAAACTGCAAACCACTGCAAACTTTGTCTCGAATTCCACAATGTTATCTATTCTTGAATGTCCTAAATGAACAATTTTTTTTACGTTGAATACAATTAATTATCACCACAAAGATAATTTGTGTAGATTTAAAACTGCAGATTTTATAAATAAAACTATATATCTTCACAATATGAGCAACAATTTCCAGAAAATTTAGAAAATATAATTAAAGCGATAATGTTAAACTTTGAATTTTTTTATTAGAATAAGGTATGGAAAATTGTTTCCAAATTTTTCACTAAATTTGATCTTTCTTCAGTGATTGGAGCTCATTAAGTTTATCAATGACCTAGAATTTGTACTAAAAATTGCTGAAATTAATGATAATATCAATTAATTAAAAATAATATATTAGATTTTCATTCTATTCTTCTATGCTCTAATAAAAATGAAAAGGGTTAATAATTTATTTGCAAAATACTAAAATGAAAATTTATGTCTGCTGTCAACCTTGAAGATCTAAAAGTGATCATTGGAGGCCACTTGACTGTGGCTGCGTTTTTAGACAAACAAACACGCGTGTCCGAAAATAAAAGTAAGTAAACCTGCCATGGAGCTGGCGTCCTTCTCTCCCTCGGCGGCCAGCGTCTCCTGCAACCTGGCGTAGATGACCGAGTAGGAGTTGATGAGGCCGAACACGAGGCCGTTGACGCAGAAGGAGGCGGCCACGACCAGCCAGCCGCGCAGGCCGCCGTCCCGCGGCCGCCACTCGTCCGCCTCGGCCGCACTCATGTCGTCGATTGCCGGCGGCTGGAGCGGCCCGCGACCGCCCCCACCCAACCCCTTTTATTTTGGTCTCTGCTTTTTTGCGCACGCTACATTAGGCTAGGCCGACCGACCGACCGACCGACCGACAGACCCACGTGGACTGCACACTCTTCACTAACACTCTCTCGCGGCCGCACAGTCACCTTAATTGATAACACGATTATACGACCAAGTGCAGCTCAAGCTTTTATGGCAAAAGAAAAAGGTCAGCGCTTTGATGAATTGCAGCATTTTGGCATTCCAAGCAAAGAAAAACAAAGAAAAGCGAATTTAATTTGCTTGTGTAGATTCTCACCAGTATATCATTGTCAAAAATGCATTTTTTGGAAAATTTAAATCTTATTTCCGCTTTGTTATGGACTTTTTGAGCTTTTTTAAATCGATTTCTGTTAAAATCAGGATCCCATCAGCCGAATGAAAGATTTTGGTGATATCTTGCCACTTAATTTTTTGTAATAAAAGGCGTTTCAATGGTTTTTGTCACCCAAAATATGTAAATATGATTATTTTTTTACAAATAATATTTTTTTGAGATATATCCAAGATGTATTCAGACTGAGATTTGCCAATAACTGCTATAACTAAATTTTTATCCATACTGGGAGAAATAATATAGCCCTAACTCATTACGAGTTTAATTTAATTTATTTGCTGAGAAAAAAACGACCATAAATCTATATTTGAAAAAAGGAAAATCACGTCTGAAATTTCTAGTCTTCAAATAACTTTTGTTCTCTCTCCTTTGTTTATTTTCCATGCCAAAGTTGCAACATAATAATTGGAGAAATAAACTAGAATGATAATGTTTATATTAAAAAGATAAATATTATTTGAAATATTGTTCATTCAAATTTAAATGCTATTTATTTATTTGGTTTGCGAATTTCTGTTTATGATTTTTAAATATGATGCAAACTTTGCACTTAAAGAAGTGGAAAACTTTCTATGGGATTGAAAAAAAACATGCTTTTTTGTTAATTAGAATTCACGTTTATGTAAGAATTGGGAAACACTGATTCTTTTTAGGAACTCGTGCACATTTCTTCCATGACGTCAACTAGTCTTGTGATGTTTTGCTCAATTCCGGAGACAAAAATCCAGCCTTGAACTCGGATTTATAAGGATTCTTGTGAAATGTGTCTTGCAAAATTCAATCTCTTTTATTTCTGTGAAGCATTTGAAGAAAATAAAAACGATAAGACCGTCCTGGTCTATCAGCCTAACCGGCAAAGGTTGGGGTCAAGTTCAGCGTGGGGACATTTTTTACTGGTGAGATAGACAGTCCAGATTTTTCTTCTCATGCGACGCAAACAAAACACCGGAATGAACTGATTTTCATGAAATCATCATAAGTGGGTTTTTTTGGTCGAAATGAAAAACAAGTTGGGGGTTTTTATTAAAAAATAGCACATTTATTACAGTAAACAAAAGTACACTTGAACAATTTATCATCAAGCCAACAATCGACACAACAAATATGTAGTCCAGGAGCTGAAAGATTTGACCCAGAAAATTTTGAGCAAGGCTGTTTATTCGAGAAAACCACCAGCGGAAAGTTTTCCCACACCGTCAAGCAAGAGATTCGAGTTTTTTTTTTTTTTTGTGAATGTATATTTTGCGAAAGGACCTGGCAGCGGCGGATCTCTTTCTCTCAGCTTATAAAATTTATGTTTTGTAAGCAGTGAACACGCGTGAATTGCGGCAAAACAATGTCGGAAAAACTTGCGAATTCTCCACTCGTGGACAATTTATTGAAACAGCTTGCGCATAAATCACTTTGCTATAGAAATAATTTTTCACAATTGACATACGATATACAGCTGGGCTTTTTGGCTATTTTGTTTTTTCGCAATAAAGTTAGTTGGAGAGAGCACATTTATAAATGTTTAGAAAAAGGTGAGCGAAAAGAGTGAACAAGGCGTTTAGGCGGGGCTAAGCTGGCAGTGGCAGGAGTTGATTAATGCAAATTAAAGGATCTGAAAACCTTCACAGATATTGCAAATCTTCATAATTCCGATAATAATTATTATTTTTATTATTAACTCCCTAAGTTTCCAGAAAAGCAAATTCGAAAACACGTTGTTTTGTCCAAAAATAATTTTTTAAAAAGCTTGATCCATTATAGAATTTTTTTATTCTGAACATATTTATTTGTCGATAAAACACAAAATTTCCATTCACCACCAGCGAAGCCCTTGAAGAAAAGACCTAAAATTAAGTCGAGTGCCAATCGAGGGCCGCACGGAAACCGCAGGCCAATTCAGAGCGTGCCACTCTCTCTAGTTTTGTTGCCGCGGCAGTTCCGATTCGCTCGATACACCCCCTAGCTAGCAGCAGCCACAGGTAGCGAGCGAGCACACAGGTTGCCGTGCAATCCGAGGAATTAGAACGCGGCACCGTTTGTGAAAAGAGACACGACCCGAAATTGGCTCATTCTTTTTCACCGTGTAATACAAAACGAGAGACGGCGGAGGCGCACCCCAAATTCATAAAGCCCGGTGTGTGTGTGTCTTACATAATTAATAAAAACAAAATCTCTCCAATTTTTCCTAAGCTTACGCACAATAATTCATGCAGCACTTAATTTCTTGCCTTAATCGTAATCCCTAATTTCAGACTTGAAAGGATTCTTCTTTTCACATAATTTAATGGACTCGTCCGGAAACTATAAAATCAATATATTCTCTGCACAAGGCGGAAAACAACGAGGAAAATTTAATTTGAAAATATCAATTTTTCCTTAATTTTTAATAATTGATTGATCGAGTTCGATAATTGAAAAAGTTGCCTTGCTCAAGTAAATTTTTCAGGTTCGGGAAATCGCCCGTCGCCTGGACTTTTTTTATTCTTCATTATAACTTCTAATAAGTAAGACTGGCTTATTCTTATCTGCCTACTTATTAATTCATTACGTAGAGCTGCTTTTTTAATTATAATTGTAAGCGGAAATGAAACGCAGGCGGCGAACCCTTTTCTTTCTTTCATCGTCTCTCTATGATGATTTTAAACTCCTTGATTATTGTCACCGTGGTAATGAGATATGCGATGCGTGTGTGCACCGGCGTGTTTGTAAGTGTGTGTGAGTGTGTATCTTTTTTTAATTGATAATTATCGCGCAGGGCTGGAATAATTGACAGCTTGGTGGTCCGCCCCGCGTCCCATTGGCTATATTTGATTATGTTTTCATTGTTAGGCCTGCGAGTGGCGCGCGCGATTGTACAAAAACACTTAATATTTAAGAGATAGGTATATAGAGAGACATTTCTGCTGATTGAATATATTATTGTACACTCAGAGAGTAGAGGACATTTACCGCATTTTGTTGTACCATTTTCGCCTCGTTTGTCCGACTAAAGCGCGCGCGAGTGGCGAAATTGCAAGAGATAATCGATCGTGTCTTTTTCATGTGGTCAATTAGTGCAAAAACATAGTGGATCAATTTGTTGACGTGCAGGGTGGCGCCGGTCGATGCGGAAACGAATTTTGCGCCAACGTGTGCATGCGGTAGTTTTTCATTCAAAGGCCGAAAGCAGCGGAACCATAAAGAGAATTTTTGAAGAAAGGCTTCAAAGCGTCTTTTGAAGTAGAGCAAAATGCAACCCGCCTCAGCACTTGACGTTAACTTGTTGACTTTAAACACAGGTTAACCCTCTGTTAATTGCATTCCTTCAGAGATGGAGCAGAAAAGAGAGAGATTTAATTGAATTGAGGGGCGATGAATTTTCCTCTAAGAAGAAAAGTTAATTAATTTGAATTTTCATAACTTGTTTCAACAGCCGAAAACTTTCCTTTTATCCGAAATTAGCTTGTAAAGAGCAGAAAAAGATTATTTTATTTTAATGTGATTTTGAATGAAAGGGTAAGAAAAAGCAAGATGTAAGTTGAAACCAATTTTAGGGACTTATGCAAAGAGAAAATTCCAGCAAATGTTAAAATGAAAATGGAAATTGAAAACAAAATGAGCGCTTGGATGGAATTCTTCAGATTTAAATTTGAATATGAATTAAATCATAATATTTTATCAAGGCAGAAATTTAAATATTTCATTACTAGAAATCTGAAAACTGTTATGAAATATCTTAGTAATCTCAACCAAAACGCGAAATATTATATTTTTTTGCAACATTTTTCAATTTCAAAAATCTGCTTTTTAAAATTTAGAGAGTTGTAAAATCACTTCTTCGTCCCAAGTCGGCGGAGGAAAATCAATTTAAACCGAGCCGCGAGCAAGAGTGCTGGATTCTCAACTTTTTTCACTTTCCTCCTCGCCGGAGAATTCCCCGACGCTCCATCTCTCTCCGCAACAACTTTTGCTTGCGTCGCGGAATAGCAATTAAATTCCTGTTATGCGTCGGAATTAAAAACTGCTCTTCCCTCTCTTTTTAATTTACTCGCTTTCCGCGCGTGAAAAATTGATTCGTGTAAACAAAGTTGCAGTTTTTTTGCGCTGTGCCGACGGCGCGCCAAGTTTTCTCATTATTCGGTGGCGCGCGACTTGGTGACGCGCGACAATAGCGGGATAGACCCTTTTGTGTGTGGAGCTGCACTCAGTCAGTCTGGTCGATAGATGTTGAGCCCCGCGTGTGTGTGTTGCCACCGCACCCGCAGAGAGCACGCACAATTACACAAACAGAGCCGCCACACACACTCGTTTGCCCGAAGAAGAGCTGACAACGTCATTTGGGCCCATTTTCGTACTCTCGCGTCACAAAACGGATCTAAAACTCCGTGTATGTGCGTCCGTGCATCTCTATTATATGGTCGGTTCTGCTTCGCTCGCCGATTAATAATCGCAGCGTCTGGTTAATACGCTTTTCATTTTCCTCCGTGACTTGATTGATTGCCCAACTGTCATGGTGCGAAAAAATTTATACTAATTGCTGAAAGTCGCGGAATTTTTGTGTTAAATTTACGGTTTTTTGGGGTTTGCATAAATTCCTGCGCTTTTTTTCATTAGAGTGATGAAAAGAGGGGAAAAGTTGTGCGCACGCAAAAAAGCTGCGGATAATTTATTCATGCGTACGGCATTTGCATTTGGAAGCAAATCAAGCTGAAGGACCTCTGGGACTTTCATTTAAATTAATGAGCATCTCTTCCATCTCCATTCGAACTTCCGGTACTTAAGATATCCAAAATGGCGCCGCCAGCTTAAAGAGGATGGGTTCAACTTGAATTGTGAATCAGTGCTATGCAACAATTAAAGAGAACCACAATTTTCAGGAATTTAAAATCAATCCAATAATTTCCACAGAGGAAAAGACTGAAATTTCAGTTCAAATCTGTTGTAAGATAAAATCCTTCTCGAAACTAATTTTGCAATTTGTAAAGCGGGGATAAGTTATTGGCCCGAGTGCAATCAAACTTCAAAGGGATTAATAAACTCATTTCTAAAATTATATACGCACTCGCTTATTGCGATGTAATGAAAATCGATGTAAAAAAATGAAGAGGCCGTGATTCGTCGAATGAAGAAAGTTCTGCAAAGAAGCCTTTCTTTTCGCTCCAACAAAGCCGCGGCAGTTTAATCTGATATCGTTTAAGCCGACAATCGATATTAATCCCGCTAAGCTCAGCGCTTGTATAAATTCTATCTTGCACGGTTTCTATATCCATGCTGCGGACGATCTCTCTATTTTATTCATAGCGGATTGAGCCGCATGGTGTGGTTAAATTTATGCAAACCCGCACAACATCGGTCTAGAGCAAGTTGCATAACTTGAATTAGTTCCTAACTGTGAGGTAAATTTACTAAGAAATTAAATCGGAGAAAAACCGAAATCAAAGGGTTAAAAAATACCTTTGAGTGAAATTCTCATTAATTTAAATTACCAAACTACACAGTAAAAAAAACTTGTTTTAAAAAGGGTTCAATTAAATTAATTAATTGCTTTTTTCCGTGTGAAAGTTTGGTGCTCTGATGGGAATCAAAGCAAACACGGTCCGCTCGTGCGAGTACTTGTTTGTCAATTGCGGTTATTTGCACAAAACAAATCTGATCCGTTCGCTGTCGAACTAAACAAACAGCGATTAAATTATTTCAAGCCCGTCGAGGGTGCGAATCAAAGTTCAGCAGCGCAGGGGCGGTGACCTTTGCAGCGCCCACGCAAAACGCTTTTCGCAGCCAGGCGGGCAGGTGTGGATTCGAATGTCCTTTTCGGGCCCAAAGGGCGCTCGCGAGACCCAACTTCGGCCGCACCCGAGGGCTTCCCCGACCACACATTACATTAAAATGCAGAATGGACCTTGTTGTTGGTCTTAACTGCAGAATTTCGTTCGGCCGCAAAATTACCCCGCGCTGGCACTAAATATATCCGGAGCTTTGTTTTATGACTGCTATTTTTCTCTTGCATTTTCCCACGGGACGCGTTTGTTTGTTTATTTCGGTATGCGCCAGACATCTTTCTCACTACCAGCAGATGTGAATTTGAAATTTTACTCTTTTACCAGGAAGGTCATCAAAGCCGCCGAGAGTCTTTGTTTGAGTTTTAGCAAACTTTCTTCGCAGAGAATGGCCTGTTTCGCTCGACAATAGCCCGGAGAGAGATATAAACTTTTCAAAAAATAGTTCTACTCTATATAGCCCTTTGATAAAAAGGAGAAGACAACGCAAAATGCAGTGCATAAGCTCGATTTATTTATTTCGTGTTTGGAAAATAATTTAGATTTAAATTCTAATCGCCCGTTTCCGTTTGGGAGCAAATTCCGAAGCAGGCCATTTTCTGCGTTTCATCAAATTTTATTTCACATATTTTTCGGTGAGCAAAAAATAAAATGGATATTGGATATCATAGGTAGATATATTGATAGGCGTGTGGGTGAAACCTTTTTAGATCAGCTTTTCCCTTTTCGATCGCGGTGAAAATTGAGTCGGCGGACGTGTCTAAATCCCATTTGCACAGAAGGCGCGCGCGAGTGAGAGACAGAAAGAGAAAGATACGGCAAAGTAAACTTCGCCTTGATTTGATCGATTATGGATGTGTGTCCTTTGAGGCGAGGAAATAGAGGAGAGCGAGGTGAAACATGCGCGCTTTATACTTCTGACAGCCTGTGCTCATATCTTTGTGTATTGTTGTCAAGATCAGGGAAAACTTGCAGAATAACTTTAAACTTTAGACGTCAGTTGCAAAAGCACGCCTGGAAGTGTCAAAATTACCGAGAAATCAAATTTCAACTTTTCAGGTGAATATGAACTCCAGCAGATCGGTAAGAGTGGATAGAAGAAGAAAATTTCTGGATTTTTTCATCCCATAAAATTGTAAAATTTGACTTAATTTTTTTTTGTTTCTCCAAAATAAAATGCCAAAAACGTTTATAGCATTTCGAAATATTGAAAGAACTGACGAATCCATTGGTTAGAAGATTTTTCAGAAGAAAATGAAAATGATTTGATTTAGGCTCTTGTGGGTCAAAATTGAAATTGGCTGTAAATATATTAAGAAAGGTCGAGTATTTTAGAGCTTAAATTTGCCGATAAGTTACTCAATTACTGGCAATTTTCACCTCAATTATTTAATTTTTATTTAATAACTCTAAATTTTCCAAGTGGCATTATTGTTTGAAAGAGCAATTATATTCAGTTTTTTTTCACCCCCAACTGAGCCTCTCAAGGTCTTTAAAGAAAAAGAAAAAAACATCCCGAGAAACACTCATTTTCCCTATTGGTTTTGCGTCAGTTGTGAGATGATTAGTTTCAAATTTTCCGTTCCGCGAAAAGCTGCTGAAGTAGAAAACCCGCGGCAGTTGATGACCTTTGACCCGAGAGTCAAGTTGCTCGATTGCGTCGGCGGTGGACTTTTTCCGCCCACACTCGCGCGCGCGATAGAGAAACGCTGGCGAAATGTACAACCGAGTAGAAGTGAGTCTATTGCACTTTGAGAGAGCACGCTGAAGTTAGCTACGAGATACACTTTTCATTCACTTAAATGTAATTTCTGCCACTCTTAATTAGGCGCGCGCGCGTGCCCGTGCTCAACTCGGAATTGGCCGCCGCATGTGGCGTCGATGCAACCTGTTAGGCGGACGCGCCCAGCATGTTGCATATCGCCGCCGATCAATAGGCGCGCGCGGGGAACGAGACGGAGCTCGCAGCTGCCCGCGCGTCATTCGCTCAAGCTAGGCTTCGGCACTGCACCCCCGAGAAGAAGTAGAGTGAAAGCAGGCAGAGAAGCAAAAATCATTTCGAGCTTTCAATCTTGCTTGGCCTCCCTCGCAGTATTTTTTTTTTTATTTATATATAATTGACCGAAATAATTACACTTTTTTGTTCATCCAGTTGGTGCTACGTGTAAAGGAACGACGTGTGCTTTTCAAGTACAGATAGAGAGATTCATTAACGACACCTAAATAGAGGTGCTGAAGTGAGAGATTTTACTTCCAAAGAGAGCAAAAAACGCCAAATTTTCCCCTTTTTTATTTTTCACTATAAAAATTTCACAGAAAATTTTATAACTGCATTTCGGACTAAATTTTTTAATGAATAAATTTCACATAAAATTTGGCGCATTTTCCATTCTCAGGAAGCTCCCTTCTTCAGTACCCCTACACCTAACTTTCTTTCGAACTGTCCGGAGATTTATAATTTTTTTCCTAAGTAAGATTCTTCATTTGATTATAGCATGGAAGTTCTTGCGATTTTTGCTTTGATTTTTAAAAATTTTTTATCCGCGTTGTCAGAGTGGGGGGTGGCACGAAGCTGAGCCACCCCCCGAGCGATCGAGCTAGGAGAGTCGGTTTTCACATTCAGAAGAGATACATTTTACCAAAAGCCCAGCGAAATATACACATTCTTTGACTTAAATTTGATATACTTTTTCCAAGACAACCACGCGCCAGGTTAATTTCGTAGTAAGATCTTTCTTTCTTTTTTTTTTATTTTGCTTCCTTTCTTTCTTTCTGTCTGAAGGCGAGCCGCCAAACAACGAGATATGTGTTTAATTTCACTAATGCGTTCCATGTGAGTGAGCAATTACACTTAACTGTAATTACTTGAATTGCAATTACCTCTCTTAGATATATTATCCATAGTAGTGTTTGTATTTTTCTTTTATATAATTTTTATGTACCTAAGTATTTGCCTGCAGCGATTATTTCCTCTTTTATTAATTTTCTCGCGGTTTCTCTTTTTTTTTAATAATCTCATTCTCGGTTAGATTTTTTGTTCATTAATTACTTGGAAGATGATATCGGGTGGTCTCTGTCGCGATTGCACTCTCTCTGTTATTCTCAATTGACTAGAATTGCTGCTTTGATGATTTGCTCACCGCCAGCCGAGGCATAGCAGGAGCACGGCCGTCGGGGTGGCCACGCGCGTGGCCGCCGAGTTGATGGTGGCGGCCGCCTCGGGGTCCGGGCTGGGCTGCGGGGCCATCACTTCCACTGCAAACAAAAACGCACCGCAACTTTAAATAACTGTTCTATTTTTTCCCACTTCAATATTATAAGCAAATAAATTCAATTAAAAAACAACTTTGGAATTTGTCGTCAAATTTGTGACATCTGGGTACTAATTTTGATTTAAATTTCTAAGAAAAAATATTATAAAATACGCAAATCGTCTCGTTTTAAAAAAATCTTAATTGAGTTATGCGTTGATTTTACAAAGGAATTTCAGGAGAAAAGCAATTTTATAATCTTGGGAATCATAAAAAGTCCAGAAAATTAAAATGGTAAATCTATAAATAGATTAAAAATTTTTAACTCAACAGCAATTTAATTAAAAATGAGTAAGCTAGGCTTATCTTCTTCTGATTTTTACTTCGGATCAAAATTTGATGGTAATTTTATGGGCAGTGAATATTGTTCAAAGTTGATTACTTGCAGCGTCAATAATTCCGAGCTAATTTAAAGCCATGTCCCGTCTTTTGCACGGCACCGACACACTTAAATTCCACACCTCAAAATACCTGTCAGAGCAAGTGTGGGGGGATATAAAGTTGGCGCGTGCGTGCACCCAGTATTAAATGCCTCTCATCCATTGTAAATCAATGACCCACGCGCATTATACAGTGTGGGGGTTCTTGTCAGTGGCCGGGACGAAAGGAAGATTTTCCCCAAGGCGTTACAAAGGCCTGTCTGTTCATCCTCTTAAACTGGACTACACCCGAATCAATCCGTCCACTTCAATTTCGGCCTCTTTAAACGGAAGCAAAATTGACACTCTCGTGTTCTTTTCATTACTCCAGAGAGGCAACCCCTAGCTCGCTACAAAAAACGTTCAAGCTGAGGTTTTCTATTCCCCTATAAAAAAATCTATCAAAGAGATAAAAACCCAAGAGGAATTCTTTCCTGATTGTGTACCTTCTGCCGCAGAAGGAAGCAAAAAAGTATGTCCATCAATCCTTTTTTATGATTGAAATTTTTATTATAATTGCAAAAAAATTCTTTGATTTAAACAATAGCCTCAAAATTGAGGTTAAAATATTTAAATATTAGTATCTTAGACACCAAAGGCGCAATTTTTTTAGCTTAAAATTTAATGATCTTGAATATCAACAATAAACTGTCAATTTAAAAAATCCAATATAAGCAATAAAATCCATGAATCCAAAGTTTTTAATTTTCTAATCAATCTTCTATAAAATTTGCAAAGATCAAAATTGAAACTGAATTGATGCAACTACAGCCTGTACTTTCAATAAAAAAATCAATGCGAGTTTTTTTTAATTGTTGTATTAAAAACAGTCCTCTTTGTAAACTGATCATTTCACTCAAGAAATGTGAGCAACGAAGTTTTGAATTTCACATAAAACCCAAGTTGCTAAACGCGTAAAATCCACAGAGATCCTTAAATTATTTTATTAGACAGTTTCCATTAGTTAATGAAACCGGCAAAAACTACAGAATTTCAGCTCCGACATCACTTTGAAAGAAAATAGCCTGAAGCAAGATTTCGTTTCACACAAAATTGCGCCGCTTATATTTGGTCCCAACGGCAGGCCAACTTTATATCCGCTTATTTTTTGAAAAGAAGTGCCCGGAAAGGGTGGAAAACGCTCGCCTTTTGACTTTCGCTCCGACTTTCTCTCTTTCTTCTTTTATGCCAAGACCTCATTTACAAAACCGCCGCGACGACGAGACGCTTAATTGATGTCTCCCACGCAGTGTTGGCACGCGAATTATGAAAGTCAGATTTATAATGAGAGACAAGAGCGAACTCGGGCAAAGGAAAATTTTAATTTTTCTCAAATTTGATTAATTAACAAACAAGCCTGTTGCAATTAAAGTCTGTTTGCCCAGCCAAAGTCAATTAAAGCATGAGAGGCTGTTCTAGAAGCAATTTCGCTTCGTCTTACTCAGTTAATTAATTTTTGATTGCTTGCCTTCGTCTCAAGTTGACTTTTGCTTACCTGTGAGCGAGGCCATCCGCTTGTCTGCATAGCGCACCACGCTCGGCCTCAGGTGGTTCTCCAGGTCCTGCTCGAAGCCGTGGAAGGCTGGGATCGTGGTGAGGCAGGTCAGTTGCACCAGGCCAGACGGCGCCGTCCCAGGCGCCGAAGTCGGCGCCGCAATCACGTGCTCCTCGTTCAAATCCAGGCTCAGCTGCACCGTCGAGTACGTCAGGTCGGCAAAGGTCCGCTGCCCAGGGAAGACCTGCAACAGATGGTCGTCCACCTACCCCCACCAAAGGCGGCCATTATTAAACAGGGTTGATCCAAATTTTATGTAAATTGAGTGGTGATTTTTTTTATTGAACAATTTTTAAACTTTCCCGAAAAACGAAAATAAGGAACCTTTGAATAAATTTAATTTCAATTTGTATGCAAAATAATTTCCAAAAAAGGTTACAGTTCCTAAAAAATCTACACATCTTCAAAATTGAGTTTCATTTTATTTTTTAAAAGTTCATTTCACCTTGTATCATTTGTATTCTATTCCATTATTTTAATTCCAATGAATTTGCCAAATTAGGTTGAAATTTAAACAATTTAAAATTTAAAAAAAGAAAATTTTCAATTTATATATCTTATTTTGAACTAATCAGATTTGAGAGAGAGGATTTTGCCCATCTCTTGAAGTCTGACGGACATTTGTTGATAGTTTGGAAACTGCAGGTCAGTTAATAGTTTCGAACGGAAAGGTAATTAAATTAGGTGTGTGCCCTCGCGGCGCAGGGATGATCCACTCTAGCGAATATATTAATTTCAGTTTGCTTTGAAGTTTGGCCTGAACAGGGCCGTTAGGGGAATAGAACTACTCGCCTTCTGTCCGTTGACGATCCACGTGATGTCCGCCTCCGGTCGGGACGGACTGGCCGTGCAGTTGAGCTCGAGTTTCTCGCCGGGCAGGTACAGGCCTGGTTTGCGTCCGGTGATGTGCGGGTCGGCGCGCTGCTTCACTGCAAACACGACCCAAGCACGCGATGCTCAATCACACACACAAAGTATATTATATAAATTTGCAATGGTATATGTACGCAGGGTGGCGGACACGCCTTTGTGCTCCCAAGTTTGATTTGCCTCGCCGGCAATAAATTTCAACCAAGATGCAAACAGCTGCCCACGCAGATAATGATATATATACGGACAATCAGAAATAGATTGAAGCGGCTCTGCCATAATCGTTTGAGAGAAATGAATGGTACAAAATAATTAATAAAGCTGGGAATAAGAGGCCACGGACTATTAAACTTGTTTCAAAAGAATTTCACTGTAAATTTATATGAAAAATGCAACTTTCAGTTTAACTTTTTTCAGACTTTTGTTACTAAAGTTTTTATATATTAATCTTCTTTTAAGTTTACAAAAATTTAGAACTATTGATATTTGAGAAATTTTTGATGCATCATCGAATGTTATTCCATCACAGATGCAATTTTTTTGAAAGAATGGATTAATTAATATTAATTTGAATAGAAATTAACTGGTTTCAGTTTTCAAATCATTCAAATTAATTTTACTAATGTGGCAAAAAAAATAAAAATGTAATTTATTTCTTCCTCACATTTTCATTTTTCCATTGAAAGATCTTTCCTTTTATATTTTTGAAATATATGGTGATTATTTTGTGTTACCCTTTTCCTCCAATAAGGCCAACCCACTCTTCCAAATCTTGGTTCGAAAACAAAAATCGATTTGCTACTTTGCGGGAAGGGAGGCTTTGAAGATTCCGTTCTGCGGGTTGCATACCCAAACCTTCAAAGCCTTTTTACCCCCTGGGAAGAACTCAATCGATTTTTGTTTTGCACCCTTGGTTTTGAAAGAGGAATATCTAAGGAGGAAAAAACTCAAATTTCCGTGTTGCGCGTGTTGGTTTTTTAAGCAATTAGAACAAGAACGCTTTTTACATAATTTTCCTTGGGTTAAAATGCGAGCAAATTTGGTGCTAATTAAAAAGGAAATTAATGATGGGGTTGACAGGTGCAAGAGGGGGTTGGAGCCGCCGAGATTAGAATGTTAGTGCAGCTTTTGGCAATTCATTTTCCCCTCGGCTCCCATGACACACACACACAAGAAACCGATCGATGAGAGCCTGTCGAGAGATTACACTCGGTGAAATATATCACATTTCGCCCCGTTTTGAGCGCGCGCGAATAGAATTTCACGAAGAATATAAAATCGGGGTCATACACGTTCACTTTGTGAATAAATTTGGAGTTAATTGCCCGCTCTCGGTTGCTGACAAACAGCGATTTAGATAAAAGAAATATGGAGCAGCGTGGCAGCTCTTTAGCAAAAAGAGATAAGCGATCCGGAGCGGAGAGGAACACGGAACCCTTTGTGCCCTCGCGCGCGCATTAGCCCGCCCGTGTTGTTGGATTATTTTTTCAATAGAGATCAGTTTCTTGCAGAGCAGGGGCATTAGAGGGGTGCGCGCGCACCCTTAAAGCAACACCTGATTATGGTCAAAAAACCAATAAAGCAGCGGGGGGCGCCGGCGCTACAGGCCAACGCGCCCCATTCAACCAATTTAATCGCGGCCTTAATTAAGCACCAAAACAAGCCGTTCGTCATTTTGCCAAATTGTCGTTTTTACGCACTGTTTGAAAATATCAGAGATTATCGTTTTAAACGCGCAGACAAAAAGCTTCTGCGTGCGCCAATTTGGCAGGGGCAATAAAAAGCTATCGGATGACAAAAAAGTCCATCATGTCAACATGTGGCGCAGAAACGATTAGTTTTTGATAAATGAAACGGAAATCGGCTTCAATTCAACGAGGCCCATTTAAAAAGTTACACAATTATCATCCCAAATATGAAATTATTTCTAAAATTTACAGGAAAATTTTAATTTGGTTTCTCTTAGTTGTTTATTTTTTTGCCATTTACTATGCCTAACAGTGTTTCAAATTTTGTTATTAAATAGAATCTTTGCAATGGTCTAGATACTGTTAATAACATCATAGTGATAAAATGAGTTCATTGAAGAAATTTTAAGGCATTGCAACTTATAATAGAATCATTTCGAAATGAATCATATAGTTGATCAATCTACTGTAATTTCTAATCAAAAATAAGATGAAAATAACGCATACTAAAAGACTGAAGAAAAACACGTTCATGTTGCGGCCTTATTTTAAATAATTCCATTCAAAATATTCCAGTAATATTAAAAGCAAAATCAAAAAATAAATTCTAAATATAAGTCGGAGTGCATTGTTAACATTCTGAATTGAGTCAAAATCAGCTGAAAGCTTCCCTCTTGAAATTTTTGATCGCCAATGAAAAATTGTACGCACTAAAAACACACAAATTTAATTCTATAAATAGAAAAATTATAATAATATGGATATTTTCCTATTATTTTTCACAAATATTTGTCTGTATATTTTTTTTAGACTCTCATGACTTTGACCGATATTTTGTTTAAAACTTTAAATTTGCCTCGCCTCCAGGAACAAAATTCACCACAAAGCTATTGATTGAGTGATGCTGACAAATGCGTAAAAAAGTTCATGCCGTGGCGCGGAAACGATTTGTTTTTGATAAATGGAACGGAAAAAGAATAACAGACACGAAATCATTCATCATTTCGTTGGGGCTACTCACGTATGACGGTGAGCTGCTGGTCGTAGGAGGCTTTCGTGTAGATGGGCGTCTCCGTGGAAACCTCGCACGAGTAAAACGCGGTGGCCTCAAATTGCAGGTTGCGCAGCATCACCTGCGGATCAAGGGTCGTGAGAGGAAACATGAGATATAATATGTACATTTCTCTGCACGGAAAACAAACGGTGAGGGAAACTGATGAAGTGCATCTCCACTTTAACACGTCAGCTTAGAGCGACAAAAAGTGGCGCTGCGCCCTTGAGGCTGCGGAGAGCAATTAGGGGGCAAAAAGAAGAGACACTGCCGAGCTGCAATCGCAGGAGAGAGCAACACTAAAAACAAACTTCTCGCCGAGTGATTTCTTTCGCAGAAAACAACTGTGCTCTCCAAATGAACGTGCACAAATTAGCCTTTGACACAAACGACGCCGAGTGCTTTGAAATTTTATGAAACAAACTCGTGGAATTCGGAACTTTTTCCGCGCAACTTTTTATTGACAAAAAGTTTCGAGAGTAATAAATTTTGTAACTAATGGCTTTGTAACTCGAGTGTCGTAAATAAAGGGACCAAAAAGACACTTAATACTTTTAACAAGAATTGGGGAGAAACGAAGACAGTGACGAGCTCTCAACCCTTAAAATGTATGTTGGGAGTCATAAATAAAGTTTTAAAATAGCAAAATTAAGGTTTTCCAAATCACTTTCAAGACTTTAAATTGAGATTTCTCTGTTAAAATACGTACATGCAAATTTTCAGCTTATCACTATGTCAGGACTGATGTAGTTTCATGAAGAATGAAAATTCACTTGCATGGAATCAGCCTCAAAGTGGCAATTAGGGTGAAATTAAATCTTAATTCATTGTTACGCAAGTTTTAACAGAGCTGTGGAAATTTTATCTTCTCTAAAAAGTTGGAAATTATCTTGTAGTAGATTCGGGGAGAAATAGATATTATTTTGTTTTTAGATAGAAATCTCTCTATAATTAAAGTGGATATCAACAACGACCAAAATTTTTTTTAAATCATCAGTTTTGGATGGGATGCATCAAAACTCATCAATAGGGACTAAAATATTTTTAAAATATCCCTAATTTTAAAGTTTACAGTCGTCAGAAATGGTCCCGATTATTGTATTTCAGTCATTCGAAGATAATTTTTTAATTATCTACATTTTGCCAATGGCTCAACCAAATTTTTTGAAAATTTAGAGCTAGACGTAAAAAGACATGGCGCATCTTTTGACAATCTCAGATCTTTGTTTGGGTTGCATATTTTCAAGGGGCAGAAAAATTTAATTTTTGACCTTTTGCCAGGGTCAATGACCTTTGAATTATAAACTTTGTTACCACAGACAAATGATACCTTGGTTCATTAGCTTCAACGTCCCGCCGAGAAAAGTAAAAAATCTTCACCCGTATTAATTTGACAGCAGTTTTAGTAAACCCTTAAGTATCTCCGGTGGCCATATTGAAATTTGAAAAATATGAAATTTTTTTATTACTTGGATATTTTTGGAACCAAAATACGAACTATCATGAAATTTGTTTGCAGAAATCAATTAATTCCAAGCGCTTAAAAATAAGCTTATCTTTGTCGGAAACGAGTTAAATGCAAAAAACCACGTTTTTTGACCTTCAATTAAACGTTTCTCAAAAATTTACGCGGTGACCCCCAATTTTCTTGTGCCAAATCTGTAGCCCGGTTATCAAGGAACATGATGGTGCGTCACACACTTTTGGCAAAGTTATTTTCATGTACTTCAATTACAGTTAAACGATTTTTGTGAAAATTTTACATAAGCGAGCCATGTTAACTTCAAATGCGATTTTCTCAAAAATTTATGGGGTGACCCCTAATTTTCTTGTTATCAAAATGATCCATAAGGTCCATACTAACAGTTCTAAATAATGATTTTGCGATCCTGAGCTCTTGATATCCACTTTAAAAACTGAACAATTTCAGCAGTGCATCAAGAGAACTTCTTAGTAAGAATCAGAAAATGGCTAAATTTAATGTTCAAAATATCCTCAGAAAATAAAACGCACTGACAATTTAATATTGCTCAACGCCAGACGTATAATGTTTTTTTTTCTGTTATAGAACAGCGCTGAAACATTGACCTTTACAATGCTCATTTGTAGGAAACAAACATATCATCTAGTTTGACTAACGTCAGTACCAGACATGTAAAAAGTCCCAATTCGCCGGTGGCAGAACATTATTTTCCTAAAAAAAATTTCATAGCTCGCATGAAGTTAAACAAAATTGGCAATAATGAGAATGACAAATGAGAGCAGACAAAAACTGAGCGTTGTTTTCAATTTGAGAAAATTTTGTCAGAGAAAATTCCAGTTAGCGTTGAAAATTTACAAAGCTGAAACAAAATTTCAGTGTTGAATCCTAACATACAAGGATGGACGCGATCTTAAATTTTGCGATTGCGATGGCGATCTTGAAAATTAAAAATTTTGCGACTGCGATCTTGAAATTGAAAACTCGTGCGATTGCGATCGCGATCAAAAACGTTGCGATCAAATGTATTTTGAAAAAACACTTTTCCGAACGGTTTTTATCAACTCTGGTTTCAGAACGAAGAGTCCGAATAACTATGAACTTCGTTAATGAAAAGTCTTTTTTGAGAAATTTTTCTATCAAATTACCTGAAATTGATACTTTTTCACCCAGATTAAGCATTAAAATTGCTTTCCGCGATCGCGAATGATCGCCTGCGATCGACCACCTTTTGCGATTTTGTCCGTCCTTGCTAATATATTTTCTCATTGAGCAGCATAAAAGATGAATGGGAAAATTATACCTGGCGCTCGTTGGAGTGTCGCCAGTCGAGCTGGGCGCCGGGCGTGGTGAAGTTGCGATAGGGCGGTTGTCGTCCACGCACGAACTGGAACAGCTTGCGTCCGTCGCGCAGCCACTCGACCTTGTGCAGCTGCTCGCGGGCCACGCCGTGTTCGCAGAAGAGCAGCGCCGAGCCGCCCATCTCGACGAAGCGCGGCACCCGCAGCGACACGTGGAACTGCACGCTCCCCTCTGCAACAAAGAAAGCCACCCTTTCAAATCATAATCTCCGCGGCACGAGACTGATAACCCTCGGCGGTAATGAGGTCCCTCCAGATCTCTGCGGAAAACGAGCGCGTCACGCAGGTTGCATAACCGGCACGTCCGCAGGCGCTCGCTCGCGGTTTCCCACGCATTAAATTTTAATTTCGGGCCCCGAAGGGAGGCGCCGACGTCAACCGCTTTGATGGCACGCGCCCGTAAATGTAAAAAAACGACTATGAATAACAAATGCGTCACTATATATATCGGTGCCCTCTTCCTTTCTTTATCTTTTTTTCAGGACCTACTAAATGTTGCGCGCTGCTGATGGGCTTGGTTTTATTTCCAAATCAGGTGGCCGTAACTTGCGAGGGGCAATCCAACAACGGTGTAAATTTTCAAATGGTCCATAATGATCTCACTAAAAGGAACGAGAACCCCTCCTTGGTCACAAAAATTGTTGTTTGTGCAGTTTTTCCAACAAAAACGTTTTTCTGTGGATTTTAAATATATAGAACTCGTGAGGGTTTTGATCATAAAAGGACAAAAAATTTCTTTAGCGTTCATTCTGATCCATGCCTACATAAAAATTTGTCAGGTTGTGTTGCAGTAGTACAGAAATCGCACAAACTTCATAGAAATAGATTGATATTTGCACTTTTTAAATGCAAGAACTTGTTAGATTGTCTTTAATTCATGGGCTATCATTGAAGCTTTGAAAATTTTACAAATCAGTGAGGCTATAGGAAGTTCTCCATTCTGCTTAAGTTTTAAGTCCGTTTAACTCCTCAGTAAAAATTCAAAATATTGAAAAATTTAACGTTTATTAAAATTTAGCTCCAGATGACATAATTTTCAAATAGTTTTCTGTGTGATTGAGAGGGAATATAATAATAGGTTGAAAGATCACAAACACATTTCGTGCCTATTTGTACAAAGAGATAAAATTGGATCGAATCACAACTCTCGTTTTTATTAAAGCCCTGATTATTGGAATTGGAAAAGGATGAGATAACGAGCTAATGAATATCTCCAATAAATTGTATATTTTCCGATCAAAGTTCGCATCTGTTGCTTCTTTCCATGCATCACGGAAAATAACAAGCAAGTTTCGTAACATCATCTCTCATTATTTCATGCCGGGCTGAAAAGTTTAAAGAGCCTCTGGAAATATGAGAATCATTTCAATTATTGCGCGGACGAATAATGAACCCTCTCGGCCGATTTTAATAAACGTTGTGCCGCGGCGGCGCCGGCAAACACAATTAAAGCGAGATGAAATTTGCATTTTAAAACGCACCAAACACACAGAGAGAATAATACCGACGAGTCGCTCGCGGCACTTTTCCTTCAGCGGCAGCACACAAAAGGAAACTGCGTGTTAACCACAAAAGTGGAAATCCGCGCTACGAGAGAGCGACTGGAAAATTAGCCAAAACTTTCCTTGCTCCCGTGCTTGTTAATTTTTTATTTTTTTGTGTGGGTAAAATAAAGTGGCAGGAAAACACGCGGCCGGCGCAATCCGCTTAATGTGGGCTGCACGCGAACACGTTTGATGCAATCCCCGTCGGATATATCAACATGGAAAAATCGTTAACGCAAAGATTCAACAGCGCGCGTCACCAGAGATGGGGACCCGCGCGCCCTCCAGGGCTTTGGATAAAATAGGGGAGCCTCCCACACGCGCGTCACCCACTTACTCAATCCGCAAGCTAACCTGCAGCCAATTTTCCAGGTGCATAAGGTGAGAAATCGCCTCGTTTGTCTTGCCTCGTGAAAAATTCATCCCCGCGTGCGGCGACCAGAGAGCGTGGAAATTTTCCCACTGGCCATTATTGGAAAAACACGAGACGGACGAGCACCTTTTGCACTTTTAAAGACGTAAACTTTTGCAAAACAGATACAGAAGAGTTAAAAAATAAAAAAGCACGTCAAAAGGTACAAAAAGTTTTAGTTTGAATGAAGAAATGATTGATTCAAGATCAAATTGATATTAACATCAAAGCTAAAGTTTCCTGAAAATAGTTGCATCTATTGTTTTAAATTAATTGAGCTCAAAATTATAATTCTTACATTAACATTTAGATTTGTTTAAATCACCTAAAATTTAATTACAGTTGGAAATCATTAATTTTTATATTTCCCTGACGATCAGAATGGCAATTTGTGATTTTTTTAAATTTAATAAAACATTTTTCCCCTCTCATCAACTCTATGAAATATTACTAGACATTTTATCCTTACAAATTATCCCTCAATTGGATTAAGATTTTGGTTAATATATCTGCAGATCAATTTTAATTTAGGATTTGATTGGTAATTCGAAGTCATAAGATTACTTCAGCCATCGCATTTTTGTACTTTTTTTGTCAAAATACTTTTAAAACAAAGTGTTTGTCTGTTTAAGGCTTTGGACGAAAGTTATTGAACAATTCTGAGATTCGACCTATTCGATTTTTACATTTTAGGAAAACACACCATTAAACCGGCAATGAAATCTAGCCGTTCATGAAAAACTAGAAAACTTGTTTCAGTGAAACTGTGTAAGTATGAATAATTCAAAAATATTCAATTTCATAATTTTAGCCATGAAAAACTTCGCCAAAATCAAATCCTAGGAAATTCCGCTTTAAAAACACGCAGGTTGTGAAAGCAGTTTGTTATTAGATGAATTTAAAACGGAAAGAGAAGTGACTGGTGACAATGAAGAAGAGAGAGTAGAATTTATTCACTTTGGGGCCCTCGACGGCAGTACCATTTAAAGCAATTTCATCTTGCGGCGACATAAAGGAGGTGATGAAATTCAAGCGCGATTATATTCGGGCGGATTTAGACGCGAGTGTGTCGTTTCATGAAAAATTCACTCGGCGCAACGCAATCAGGGAAACAATTGCCGCGGCGAGAGAAAGAGAGGGTCGTGTGTCGAGTCGTCGGCCGTTTGCCCACGGCCAATTGCGGCGGCGAAAGGCCGAAAGAAAAGGAGGTCAAACAGCGGAGCGCACGATATCGCCTGTTGGACAACCAGTTGATCCGCCGCGCCAATCAATACGCGGCGCCGCACCGAAGGCAGCGCGCCCGAACTCGCGGCGCCGCTGCGGGGGCACTTGACGGGGCCGCTGGACGGCCCCCGAGGCGGCCACTCACCTGAGAGGCCGACGGCGGCCAGCAGAAGCAGCAGCAGGGGCCTGGCCATGTCCTCGCCGCAGCCCGGGCGCTCCAACTCTGAGCCCGGGGGCGGCACTGCGCAGATGCGCCCCCTCGGCCGCGGCGCAGGGCGGCGCCCGCCGCCTGCGCCTCCGCGGCCGCCCGGCCGTGGCCGCCTCTAATTTTTCTCTAATCACGCGCATCGACCACTAGTTGAACATTTATTTTTTTTATTTCTACATGCGCGCGTGTGTATAATTCGTCCGCGACCATTGCACCCCCTCGATCATCCCCCGAACCAACAAATCTCTCTCGCTTTGCCACATTTTATGTGGAAATGCTAAGCACCGTATGAATCAATGATGATGCGTCACACAGACGTACATACACACGCCGAAAGACCTTTCACTCCCTTCCGACGACAGCCCTCGTCGCGCCGCAACCCCTCAAAATCCAATACGTACTTCATAAACACCTGTATCTCAGACCATTCTCTTTTGTTGTGCGAGGAATCAGAAATTTCTGAAATACACTGTTCGAATATATTTGGGAAAATGCAATTGTAAAAAGATTACTGCTGGTCAAAAAGAAATGCTATATTGTTGTTTAATTTTTGGTTTAATTATCTTTTAAATTTATTTGAAATATTTTTACGTCTATAGAATTGTTTTTTTAATGGTAAATACAAAATAATAAATATTATGTTGCTAAAAATAATGTAGATAAAATTTAAGATAAATTTTACGTAATTTGTTTGCTTTCTATCTTCAATACAAAAGAAAATTACTGTTTAAGCTACATAAAACTAAATTTCACATTTTATTTATATTTATACATAATGAGAGAATTCATGAATAAATTTTTAAGTTTTACACTGTTAACTTGTCAATATATAAAATACAGGGAGATCCATATCTCGACGACACAAAGTACGGCCGCCTCCCAGAGCGGTCAATGATCCAATTTGAAATTTCTTGACGACACTTTGTTCAGAAACTGTCCACAATTTTGTGGAGTGTGATATTGAAATTTTTTGGTTGGCGCATTAATTTCCTACAACCCTCGGAACGAAGTCGAGAGTTTGCTCTTAAGGGGAATCCCATGTTAAACGAAAATCGCGTTTTTGCATCAACGAGAAAAAAATGTTCTCATGCGAATTTTTGAACAGAGTAAGTTTTAATTGTGTTCTGTCAACTGGAGGGAGTAAAAAATCTAAAAACACCCAATAATTCACCCTTCAATCCCTAAATTAGGGTGAAGATGATAGTTAATTTAATTTTTGCAGGGTGAAAAGTTGCTCAGAGAAGACAAATTAGAATTGAAAACGTAAAATTTTTACTGCAACTTTGTTCACAATATCAATAGGCCGCACCGCAGGTGGCTACACCAGCGACATTGGTCTCTGGAGCTGTCGAATTTGCATAAATCCACAAAAAATAGCAATTACGTGGCAAAAAATGAATGAATGCGTGCAGTTAAAAATCTGAAATTTGGTTCAATGTACAATTGATCATGCCAAGAAGGTATGTAGCAGTCCCGACCAAATTTCTTTCAAACTTTTATCAAACACTTCGTTTCACACGCGTTTATGAATGTAAAAAACAATTACTTATCCCAACATTTATGATTATTATTTATTAAAGCTCTCAAAATATTGTTATTTTGCAAACATTAGCGTATTTCAGAGAAGATAGTATGTTTTAAAAAATAATTTAACATGTATGCATATACGAAAATATATAGTTTCAAAATTATGTTTGAAGTTTGGAAATTACAATAATATAATGCAACATAATGAGAATCTCAGTTTGTGGAATAAAAGAATTAAAAAGAGAAAAAGAAAAAAGATTTTAATTTATTAAAAAATTCATTTTATATCAATTTATATTTTATATTATTCCGATATATATTTCAGAGACGGTATTTGATCTTGTTTTACATTTTTAGAATGTTAAAAAAAAAAAATTTGTCAAATTTTCCTTGGTGATTATTTGTTTCGGCGAAAACTAATTTATTGCACTGTAAAAAAAAATTAAGGCAAAGCTGAACATAATTAAAAAAGATATCATGAAAAGAAAATCATGATCGTGAATTTCTCCTCTAAAATGTTAGTTTTGAGTCTTATGATGGATATTTAATTTTTTACAATATGCCAGTGAAAATAATTGAAACAACATACATACTGGTTTTGTTTTCTAAAGTAACTAATAATTTAAAATTTACCCCTGATATAAATTATCTGATGAAAATAAATAATACTGATTGTAAAAGTAACAAAAATCTATCTGCTTTTTATTCCCAAGTACCAAGAATTTATTCGCCGGTGTCTAGATTTAATATCGTTCAAGCTATTCCATTTTTTTTTTTTTTTTTTAATGTCAGTCAAATAGAATTCAGCGTAACTGAGAGCGACACTCGCTTTCCGCTCCCGTGGTGCCGCGCTTGCGAAATATCAAAGCTGCTGACACTTAATTCTACTTATTCCTGCGCCCCAACAGAGAAACTACATCATACATAACTTCCTCTCAAGCAACACCTGCTCTTTATTTTCCCAAGTCTGACGTCGCGCTGCTTTTCCAATTAGTTAATCAATTGGCTAATTAGGGTTTCGTAATCGGGATTTATATTCGGGATTAGTGGTTTGACCGAGTTTGCTCTCGTCGATCGGCGGCCGGCCGGCTTTTGCTGTCAATCTAATGCATTTCGCTGCAAATATTTTCGCCCCATGTAAAAGGAAGGCTCTCCTATCGATCTCTAATGTGTCCCAGCAGCTCCTACCATGTACTCGCCGCTCTAGCTCTCTGTTACATTACAGGTTCCGCCTGATTTAACATTTCCCCCTTAGCAACTTTCCCTCGCCGTTTCCCGGACATAAATCTCTCGGCCTTGCCAGCTCTATCAATTTTTAACGGGGCATGCAGAAAACTTTTTTTTAAATTTCATCTTCCCTTTTTTTTAATTCTTCTACTTCTTCTAAACCTCTTCCATTCATGAAGAAAATTGAGAAAAAGTCATTCGAGTCACTAAATTTAAACTGCAAAAAAAAAATCGCAAATAAATACAAAATGAGTAGTTCTTTAATTTCATATATATAAATGTAGTTTTGTTTCAAGTTCGAGAAAATAAAAACGACTGAATAGTCCAATGACGTTAATGAGTAAAGATATAAAATATATTCAAAAAGAACAGCCAAGTGCCTGGCAAAAAAGAGATGGGAGCATCTTGGTCTCATTCAAAGAGTCAATAAAAGTGGGAAAAATATTTTGTTCTGCAGTGGGACAGGCTCATTATTTCAAAATAAAAAAATTTATATTTCTTCAATTACTAGAAGCATGAACAAGCACAAGGGAAGGAAATGGAAACTAAAATTTCGGCCGTGAATTCTCTTTACATCAAGCCTCAAAACCTATCGAACCCTTAAATTTTGCAGAAAAGAGCTAAAAAAAACACAAAACCTGATTTATCAAGTATGAATTTTTATTAGAACATAAAATGCCATTTAATACGCAATTGCCAACTTTTAATACAATTAAATGTTAGGAAAATTCACATTTTTACCGTTTCTTGGAATAACGCGCCATTGGTAATTAATCACTTAAGATCAAATTTGATACTCGTCGGAGCGAAGAGTAATAAAATTACATAATAAGACAAAGTTATTTAATCAACGAAATTAAATGGTTTCAAGTGATGAAAATTGACCCAGATAAGCAATTGACCTAATTATTGGAAATTTCAAATATCTCGTCTGTGGAATTCGGTCGCCGCTGTAATCATTCACGTTTGATCAACATTTATTTCTCTCTGACCGCTGTGCAATAAAAACCACTTGATAAGGCAAATATTCGTCATAAGAAATTAAATTTATTAAAATGAAAATTGACCTTGATTAAGCAATTGACCTTATTTTTGGAAATTTAATATTTTCTCGTCCTTTGATTAAGCAAAAGACCAAATATTTGGAAATTTATTAGTTTTTCATTTATGGATTTTGCTCACCACAGTTATCACTTCCTTTTGTACAAATTTTCTTCTTCACCGAACGCTCTTCTCTAAAAACACTCAATACGGAATATTTTTTTCATTAATAAATTAAAAAGATTTAAATAGAATTTAGTCCTTTGATTAAGCAAAAGACCAAATATTTGGAAATTTATTAGTTTTTCATTTATGGATTTTGCTCACCACAGTTATCACTTCCTTTTGTACAAATTTTCTTCTTCTCAGAACGCTCTTCTCTGAATACACCAGCAGGTATAGGAATCAGAGATGATTAGCAAGAAAAATCATAAACACGTACGCTCTCATTGCAATAAAAATATTAATTTTAATAAATTTCTAGGTTCCACCGCCCGAAGCTGTCGCAGATCTTGTAGCTGCAATGAAATCATGGACTGGCTCCTTGGTGAAACTCATTGGAGAAACAAGCATGTATGTTTCTCAGCCATCCGCGTCCATCGATCAAGAAGGTCATGGAGTTGATCTGGGAGACCAAGCCAAAGTGGACCCACCCGATGAGACTTCCTCTCACAATCAGTGCCTCCTCCCAGATTGAAAAAGCTTGTCAGAAGGTAGGAAATAATCCTATTTTTTTTAAACTAATAACGTTTGGCTATTGTATTTTCCTAGATTAAAATATATATATATATATATGTATATATATATATATATATATATATATATATATATATATATATATATATATATATATATATATATATATATTATACGCATTCATTTATTAGATTTTGTTTATTTCCAGCAAAAATTTCAATCACAGCCTCTAGGCACTGTGTACCGGGCGACGTCCTTGTTTACCCCTCAAGTTGCCCAGGTAATCAAGGATTTCAAAGAATCTCCGTCTGGTCAAAAGGAGGAGAAAAACTATTGTTCAATATCTTAGCTATTGGTTTGCTATATGTTAGATATTGCTGAAATGGACTTGAAGTAGCTTCGTTATGCTCGTTATGAGATGAGTATAAGATAAGGTGTTAAAAAATGTAATTTGTTATTTGATCTGTATTATTTAATGACATTTAACGACACTGTTAATAATCTTATTTGTCTTATTTATTTCAACTAAAGAGTATAATATTCAATATATGTATACTGAATGTTAAGTAGGCAGAGACTGGCAAATAAGTTTAAATGCCATTTTTGTTTGTCTATAATAAAGAAAATGTGCTATGGACAAAATTAAACAAATGCCATTTTGCTCTACAAAAAATGACCATAATTTGAAAACATTTGTCACTTTTTTTTCAAAATTTTGAACGAAACATACAGTAACAATGATATTCCAAAATTCTCATAATAAGATTTTTGATCTCATTGTTTCCTTGGAGAATAACTTTTCGTAACTTTTTTATAATTTGATTTGGGTGGGAGTATGTGCTCAAGGGACCAGAAAAAGCTGGCCAAGATCTGTGGCCACTGCCCAGCTCTGGCTGGCTACAGCTAGAGCACACCGGCACGCAGCACTATAACCTACACAAATTTAACAACCTAGAAATTTGATAAGTTGAATGTAAATATTTCAAAGCCAGTGTTCCAGACAAACTTTTTTTACTAAATTGCCCCTTGCAAAGTCAGTTCAAGGCAGAAAAAGAATCTCAAATCAATTTGATTGCTTCAAAAACAAACTAAACAAAGAGCTGAAAATCTCAACATATTCTGACATAAACAAGGAGTTTCAATAATATGGAACAAGCTTTTATAAGTATCAAGTACAAATAATAATTTATTAAAAAGTTTGTTAGTGTATGTTAATATATTCTATTCCACTGTCCACAATTAAAAAACGTCACTCGGAAGCATTCACAAGTTCACCAAAGTATACTGTGATTGCAACAACTTTTTTCCTCAGAACACTCTGCTCGATTTCAACATAGCTTCCAGGACCAGCCAGGCTCAGCATCTATAAATTTAAGAATTTTTTTATTACTTTAAACATTTTTCATAATTTTATTGTAAAAATCATTTACAAAAAATTGATCATGATCTAATTTCGACAGATGAGATGCTTCTTCAAGAGGTTACTTTGATCTACAAAGCACTAACCTGTTGTGTGTTTGTGTTGCGGGGGAGGTACATGACCACATTTTCGCTCACTCGCCTTGCAGTTTTGTAAAGATCTTTGCCGTCCATACAACTTAAGTCTTCTAGATTGAAAACCTGAAAAGATTACAAAAATTGTATTAAAATGTCAACTTACAAAAAGAAGTCAGTTTGAAAATGAATTTAATTCAGTAGTTATCCCTGGAGGACTACTGAAGAAAATAACCATCAATAAACTGTGCATAAATCCTATTCAGATTTTAAAATTTTATGCAACTAACCTTTTTATTTAAATAATTGGGTCCACCCCAGGGGGGGCTGAGGAAAATAACGTCTGCTTTCAGCAAAGGTGCTATTTTGAAAAAGTCTCCGCAGATGAACTCGATTCGGTCCAAAACTCCATAAACTTGAGCATTGTGGGCGGCCAGTTTGATTTTCTCAGGGTCGATGTCAATGGCAATGACTGAAATTTTAAAATTAATAGGGATTTTAATTTAATTAATTTGGTTTACCTCTTTCACATGTCAAAGCAAACTGGATCGAATTTCCTCCCGCACCACAAAATCCGTCGACGATCACATCGCTTTGGCACCTCTCAGCAATGTGCTTGGCAATTTCTTCCGGAGTCACAGAAAACCACGACTCTAATGAAATCAATGGGAATCAGTTTATACTTCGGAAAAATTAAATTAAAAACTACCTTCGTCGAGACGAATTCCTTCGTCAAATCTGGAAAACAACTGGTACCTCTTGGCCCAGTACTTGTGCATGTGCGCCGATTGAACTTCCTCTGGCAGAATTTTCCTTGAATGTTTTAAATTCCTCTTCTTTTTCTCCAATTTTTCTGGCACCTCCCGAGTTTCCTCATTGGTCGACGAGTCAAAGACCGACATTTCCACCGGTTTGAAGGGGTCTAAATTAACCTTGAAGTATACACTAATTAAGTTAGGTAGATCAAATTTAAATTGAAAAGACCTACAGTGGCAGGATGAATTTTGAGAGCATTGTTTTGAGCTTTGATGTTTTTCTTTAGGTAGTACACGTCGGCATTCTCGAAATCGAATTCGCTACCACTGCTGGCGTCGTACGAACAGCCGGTCAGGTTAAGGAAGTTTTGTACTCTATTGATTACCCCTTGCCTGGGCCTCCTCTTCTGCAAACTTAATTTCACTTTTGTTTAAAAACAAATTTCCAGAATAAAAAAGAAAAACCTTTCTGCGGTAGAGGTTGATGAGGTGTCGACTTCAATGGGTCTTTTGTGAATTTTTTCCTCTATCGGCTTTTCATTTGTCTCTTCACCTGCAGGCAAGTCTTTCTTTTTAGACTCCTTGACCTCTTCTTCTTCTTCACCCGAGGAAGACGAAGAGCAATATTCCTCCTCTGCCTGTCTGATTGCTTCGAACATCCTCAAGGTCTCAACCATTAGCCCAGTAGAGTTTAAAATTCTGTAAAAAATAAAAATTTGAAATTACTCCTTTATACATTTTTGTTTTAAAAAAACCATTCAAACCTGACACTCCTTTTCTGCGCCTTCCTCTGTTCTTTCACAGGCCCAGGGATCATAGGAACTATGATTTTCTCTTCAAAAACGCTCTCTTTTGGAACATCCTCTATTTCCGGCTCAGTTTCTAGCTGGGAGACAACTTCGTCTTTCAGGTCTTCCACCTGAACGTCTCCTGGCTGAAGAGACATTTCGTTCAAGTTTTCACTCACTTGCTTGATAATTATTTCTTCTTCATTAACAACCGCGCTCGAATAAAGTGTTTCCGGTATTTCTACAGGATTTTGATTCCTAAAAAGCGAAATTTTTAGAGATGAATTGATGGGACTTAACAAATTTTACCTGTGGACAATCCTGGAGAAGACTCCGACGACCGAGTTCTCTTGATTTTCCGCGTCCAGCCAGAACTCAATTTCGCCTAAACTTTCGCTCGTCATGTAAGTACGTTTCTGTTAGAATGCGTACAGAAAAATTATAAAAATTGCAGAAAGTTGGAGACCGTGAGATGTTGCTGTTCGTTTTAGTCGTTTTGTTTACATGCGTGTTTTGAGAAAAAGGACAAAAAGGGGCGGTTTCAGATTTCGCGCGCAACAATTTTTTGATTTCAAAATATGGCGCGCAGAACACGCTTTGAATTTACATTGAATAAAATACTGAAAATGATATGAAATATTTCAATTAAATTGTAATGAAAATGTCATTTTCGAGAATAAAAATTACTTATTTCTGGATACAAAATTTCGAGACCTACTATTTAAGTTATTGTTTGGCAAGCTTGAAAGCTGTATTAATTTCCGCCTTTCTTTTAACCCTTGATTTACTTTCGCTAGTTTCTTATTTTTAAATGCATCTGTGCTAATAAATAAAATAAATTCAAGGGTCTCCAATTAAATCAAACCTCCTTTTGGGCTGTAGATTTGGTTTTTATTTTTAATTTTATCCATTTTTAATTTTAACCATTTTTTAATTTTTCATTTTTTGTCAAACATTTCAAGTTCTTCAATTGTGTTGGGCAGAGCTTTGTTGGCAGTTTCAGGTAAGAGCATGACTGAGGCGCCTCCAAGGATGGACAAAATTCCGAGAACGAACAAAGGCAGTCCTTCCCAGACCGCGGCCTGTAATTTTCCAAAATTTAATTTTTTTTTCATTAATAATAAATTAGAATCTCATTACCAGATTCCACAAGTTAGGAACGAGCAAAAGGGCGATTCCGGCCGCAAGATTCGCCGATCCGACGCCCATGTTGCGCACCACGGTGGGGAAAAGTTCCGCCGTGAAAACGGGCAAAATTACCTAAATTTCAATACAAATATGAAATATGATTTAAATTTATTTGCTGGAAAATTAATAAATTACCCAAGGGAAGGAAAAGGCGAATCGGCCCATCATGACCAGGCCAAGGGTGAGATTCTCCTTGTAGGCGTGCGAATCAGGAACAATTGTGGCCAGGATGCAGAAGAGGCCTCCGGCCGCCATGGTGGCCACCAGGGGTATCCTCCTGCCATGCCTCAAGAGCAGGGGCGTGCTCAGGGCGATTGCTGGCAACTCAACCAGGCCTAAATAAGAAGGGAAAAAATTTACAGGTTCAATTTGAAAGAATCCAGATTATTTTATTTCACTTTTTTAGTAGAAAAAGGTTTTAAAAATCTGACCTGAAATGACGGTGTTGAGGTGAATCTGGCCTTCGATGTTGCCGAGGTTGAGGACGAGGCCGAAGTAGGAGAGGTAAAGGGCGAACCACTGCGCGTACACGAGCAGGGAGATCCTCCTGATCCTGGGCGTGCTGAGGAGGGAGAGCAGGTTCTCCTGTTCGCTCCTGGCGACCTCTTCGCCCTCGGCCGTGACGAAGGCGCGCTCGACCTGCTCGACGTTGAAGATGCGTCGGTTGACCTTGGAGGCCCTGCGGAGGGTGCGCGTGAGGCGCGCCTGGTTGCCGACGGCCAGCAGCCAGCGCGGCGACTCGGGCAGGTGGTACACGACGACGAAGAGCAGCAGGGCGGGCAGGGCGCACGCCAGCTGCAGGTGACGCCACTCGGGCAGCAGGTACGCGAACAGCGCCACCGACAGGTAGCCCAGCGGCACCGGGTAGTGGAACGAGACGCCGGCCACGGTGCGCCACCGACCGCCCACCACCTCCATGCACAACACGAACGCGCTGAACACGACGCTGACGCACGACCAGCCCAGGCAGAAACGCAGCGCCATGAACAGCCACAGCCACGGCACAAACGCGATCCCCGTGCCAACCGCAATCTGAAAATAATCAGCAAATGTTATGCAAAATCAAATTTTTTTAAGTTCACTAAATTTTTTTAAGAAGAAAATAGTTATAAAATTCAATCGAATATAATTCTGTAAAAAAAAAATCAAAATTTAACTTCCTTTTGATAATTTTTGCTTAATAATTTTTGTTTCTTTCGAGTACATTAAATATATGTTCAAAATCTTTGATTCAAAAAGAGCTCCTTAAACTTCTCAGGTGGTTAAATTTGTAATTCTGCCCCCCAACAAAACCTGCAATCGAGTCATATTATTCTTGCGCCATGCGCAGCTTCAAACTTATGATCGGCCTCCTGGACGTTGGAAGGCTGCTTGGATTAAAATTCAGATTTGAAGCACGATTTTTTTTTAACTATTAATTTTCAGAAACTGGAATTAACTAATTTTACTTCTCATTAATCAGTTTTATTTTATTTAATTTGAAAAAACAAATAAGCTGCATTTAAGGTTAAATTTCAGTTTTAAACACTGTCTTAACTTTTACCGTTTAGCTTCAAAGTTTTCGGGTTTCTGTTTCTATTCACTCTTCACAAGTTTGGTTGTGTCCAATTGAATTAAAGAAGTATTTCCAAATTTATAGATAGATTCTTCCTATATACCACCTAATTGTCAACTCCGGTCAACTCTAAAAACCTTTTTTAATTCTCTAGGAATTATTTTCCCCCAAAAATTCGCGATGAAATTCGATATAAATCAGTAGATTTACATTATATATCTTTTTAACAATTATTTGTGTAAAAATATAAATCCTAGATAATGAAATAAAATAACGCATTATTTTATTTATTTTTACAGATAATTTTGAAGTTTTTTTAATAATTTGTTTGTTGATTCAGTTCATTACAAATAAGGACCACCGCCGAAAATATAAAAATAAGATCGTATATTTAAATTGATTGTGTGTTGAAATTATTGGGAAATTATTCTCTTCGCTCGATGATGCAACTGAGCCTCATTAAAATTCTAGCTTCTTGTTCTGTACAGAAATTGACAAATGTCTCAAAGAGCGCACGCTTTATTTCACAATGGAAGAATACGTTATTCAATAAAGTGACATGCAAGTGAAATTGTTTAGCCTTTCATAGCAGCATTAATTTGTAAGCGGCTTTTGACGTCCGCGCGCCTTTTACCAAATTTAATGTTCCTGATTTTTAATTTCACGCGCCGTGTTATTTATTCTCCGATACATTGGCCTTGAACTCGCCGCAGTGACGAAATTTTTTTCAACGCCGATCTCGCCGCTGGACTTTTTATTTTTTCAGGTGTCGCGCGCGTTTCCATTCACTTTTGTTGACCGCACCGGCTGCAGCGGCATAATCACGTTTACTATTTAAACCACTTTCGCCACGCGCGAATCATAATTTATTCCTGCAGCTCTACTCATGACGGGAGAAACAAAGCGTGACCCAGAAAGATGGAAAAGATTTTTATTCTTCAGCATAGTTTAATTAGCTAAAAATGCAACAATTTCATAATCTTCACGCTTTTTAGTTTCAAAATTACAACAATTTTATAAGATTTCTTTCTCTACTTTGGTTTTAATTGAATAAAAAACTCACCTGGATAGCGAGGAAAATGGCAAGAGTTTTGCGTCGTCCGAAGCGGTCGGACACGACGCCGGACACGAGGCCGCCGATGGTGACGCCGAGCAGGAAGGCCATCATGGACACGTTGATCAGGGCGGCCCTTTCGCACACCAGCTGCCACTGCTCATGGACACCGCTGATTGTTAGTTCCCATTAATTTGCACAAAGGTTTATAATAAAAGATGCAAACCTCGGAGACGATGGTCTCTCCGTCTGTCAAGTTGAAGACCCATCTCTCGCATGTTTCAGTAAAATTGTCTGTCAAATTTGATGCAGGACAGCCCACTTCCTAAAAAAAATGATATAAAATATCTAAAGTTAAAAAAAAAATCCACACGATGATGAATGAAACAATTTTTTCTGGATGTTTTTTCACAAACAACGTTTTCATTGTGAACATAGCAGATGATTAAAACAAAAAATTTTTTTTTTTAAATAAATTAGCAAGTTTAGTGTGACGGAAAAATTGCGTTTATTTATTCTGTCACCGCAGACCTTTTTCCTTATAGCGCCTTGAAAGTGGAGTGGTCATTGCGGGGGATTCCAAAATCAAAACTGGTTTATCAGCTGCGCGCTTAATGGTAAAAGTGTACAATAAATAATACAGAGACGCGCGGGGAAATACGCAAGTTAAACGCTAAACTTTAAAGGCGTTTCCTTATTTTTTAACTTCCAAAACCAAAACAGCCGCATGAATTTAGAACATTCCCGAAGATTCATCTCTTTTGACCAGTTTAAAATAGATTTATTTGTTTTGCGCTAAGATTTTTCTTATGGATTTGAGCAAACTAATAGATAAGTTGATTAGTTTATATTTATTTAATTTAAAAAAATTTATTGAAATATAAATAAATATATCATAAATATCAAATGATATATAAATTAACTGATATTATTTTTAAATTGTATAATATCAGTTTTAATAAATGTTACACTGATTTAAATTAACTTATAAATAATTTCTTAAATTACCATAATTTTTATATATTATGAGTTTGTCATTTTGTTAAGGAAAATTAATTATGAAGGGACGAAATTAAACAACAAAAGAGCTACTTCCTTGTGATTTTTGGAAAGGATCGAGTGGCGAACAATATGTAATTGTAAAAAGAAGGAACTCAACTGGTTGGCCTTCGCAGTGGAACGGCGGCGTGACCGTCTGAAAAGTGATGGCAGTCATGTGCCAGGTGGAGGGTAGGTAGAAGAGCGAAAGGGCGGCTGTGAGGCGCCACTGCCACGGGCCGCAGTTTCCGGTCGCCTCGCCCACCACGTCCTCCGCGGCCGCCTCCGGAGGCTCGTTGGGGGCGCGAACCCCGTTCTTTGGCACGACGCGCGGCTCGGCTCTGGGCATCTCGATCGTGGATCGCGGCACCAGCGATTGATTGCCGAGCCGCAGCCAAGGCCTCTCGAACCGCGCGCACCTCCACTCCACTCGCGCTCCCACTCACCTTTTTTTCTCACAGGTCCATGTCAATCCGCCAGCGTGTTGAGTGCTCAGGTTGATTGAAAAAGAAATTATCATCTCATCATATTCAGCAAGTAAAATATACCAACTATTCACAAAATTAGCGCTGAATAGTAATTAAATATATATATTTTTTTTAATTGAGTCTTATCAACAAAAAAATTGTTTTTGATTAAATTATATAGGTTTCTAACGCCTCATATTAGCCTTCAATTCGCCCATTTTACACGAATGAAAATTTTCAACCCTAAGTTTGTCTTGGTCCACTAGAAACAAAAAACGATCTGGCGCGTCTGTCTGTGAACCAGTTCTCTTTACATTTTAGTCTACTGATAAGCAAATTAAGCAGCCATCAAAATTTTATTTAACTTGGCCATGCAAAATACAGAGAGCCGCCTCAAACTTTCAATAATTATAAGCTTTTATACTACTCAACACTACTTATCTGTAAATTCGACTGAATGCCAAATTTTTTGCATTCCAACTGATAAATTAATTTGTTTTAAATGCAATAAAAGTTAATATATCGTCTTGTAGATCTTACTTTTGCTTATATCACGAGTCGCTGATTAAATAAAATACACCCCCATACTCTTTGATTTTCCCCAACTACATCAGCCACAAATACATTATTTAGTTAAACAAAATAGTACAACTTCTGTTAACAATTTTTTTTTTTAAATTTTCAGTCATCTTGTGCAAAGACCCGAACAAGTCCTGCGTCAGTTGACGAACCCTTGGCCAGAAGGGAAAAGCTTCTGAAACATAATAATATGCACAAACATATGAAACGAATAAAATTCATGAGTCTGATTATTACTAATTCAAGCAAGATAATTCAAAAAATGTATAATTCAAATTTGATTTTTAAGATAAAATCAACAAGAAATTTTAAAATTCACATTAATTTCATCAAAATCTCATTGATTCGGATTTTGTTTAATCCAAGACACCCAATTATATCAGTGCCAAGGAATTTTTCTTTTACTCAAGATCCAATTGAAACAGCACTTATTGGTTCCTAATTAACAAACATAGAGACAAAAAATTAATTAAATAATGGTTTGCAACAATAAAAAAAATCAATATCTAGCCATAACCATTTCAACTAAGATATAATGTTCCATTTTTAAGCAGAGCAATTGTAATCATTAAAATTATTTATACAACTGGAATATCAAGTTAAATAATTAATTTTTATAAATAAATAAAAACTGATAATGATAAGTAAACCTTAATTGATTGATTTGCAGAAATCCACTTGTCTTAATCCAAACCAAAGGTTGATTCAGCCTATAAATATTTTCAAGCTGCTCAACCGATGTGAACTTGTGTCAGTCAAGACGTCTTGCGCTTGCCTGGGAAGAATTTAAGGTTTTAAACTCAAATTGATAAAATGAAAAGGAATCTATTTTACCACAATCTGGCCAAATGAATCTTCAATCATTGAGGTGAGTGGAACTTTGTAGCTCCGGGAGCTCCGCAGGTTGGACCTTCGTCTGAAGGTGGAGCCACAGCTTTGCCGCAGTCTTAGGCACAAATCCACATTTAAAACCTGAGAATAATTTGTTTAAAAAAAACCAATTAAAGGAACGTCTATGGCAATAATTACCTCGTTCTCTGATGACTGAAATTCTGCGCTGATTTGTAAGTGATAGATGGCCTTGGTCATTTTAAACCCTCCAATTACCTCCTCCTTCTTGTTGTTGTTCAGTCCCAGAAATTCCTGATAGCTCTCCCATGGTCAGCACAGCTTTGCCCAAAATCTAGAGGACAATGATAATTTTATTCAATTTTATTTACAATTATATTTGAAAACTCCAGACTCTCACCTGGCCAAATCTTGGTCGCTGATGTTTCCAAGACATTGGGTTGCTCGATACATGGAAAATCTTGCCGCAGATGTAGCACCGCACAAGGTACTTGGCTGATCACTGGCTGGAAATAATTTCTAAATCTTTTCAATAATAAAAATTAATTTTTTTATAGTTAAAAAGATAAAGTAAAGAATTTTTAATAACATTCAGTTTTTAAGAAATAAGGTACCAGTAATTTTAAATTTTAAATTTAATTCCAACAATCAATTAAATATCACATTTTTTTATTGAAACAAACCTCGTAAAAATCTCCAGATTGTTGCTCAGGTCAGCTTTCGTTTGGTTCAAGGTCCAAGGGTTGTACTTCTGGTCCGACAGGTCACTCTGCAGGCAGAAAAAAAGAGGCAAAGCAACAAAAAATGTCCTTATAAAAATTCGAGAGGGGGGAAAAGTGGCCGATGAAAAAAAAATGGTGCGAGGTCGAAGTACCTCGAGCAACACAGCGTCCGTTGGCGGTAGGACGGCGTTGCCGGAGGTACCCCGAGCCTCGAAGGTCCACGAAGGCGCGTCGGAAGCAAACTTCCCACGCGCCACCCTGGCAGGGCAACACCAGGGGTGGACCAAAGGAGGGCTAGGTTGCACTTTGAGAACGGATTCATTTACCTGAAGCAGATCCGGAGGTTGACCCAAGGAGTCCCAGGACTTCGGCTGTAAAAAACAAAGTTGAAAAAATGTCCACATGGTTAAAAAGAAGCACTCACCTTGTGTAAAAGGATTTCAATCATTTTTTTTTTTTTTAACAAAATAAGGGTTAACGAGAGATAAATAAAAATCCAAGTTTTGAACTTTAAATTATATACATATTTATGCAACAGAATCAAAGAATACAATCATAATACAAATTATTGCTGTCAAACTATTTTACAAAATGAAAACTATGTACATTAATTTTCTGTGTAATTTAAAACAGCTCAATCAGGCGCAAATAAGGGACGCTTTCAGCTCGGGAAAAAAATTCTCTTAAGTAAAAAAAAAAAAACACCTCTGAGTAGAGCCCCCCGAGGAATCGACCTTTCCTGCCACGAGTTGGTCGGTGAGTTTTCGTGTAGCACGGGGGACATATGCCGTGCTTACCCGGCCCGAACCAACCTTCTGCGCTGTTGATCCTTAATTCTTTCGTTGAGCGAATCGAATGTGTTCCCCTAGGTACTTTCCAGGATCCTAAGCAAAGGACCCCAAACCCAGGCACCGAATTCGCACGCAGAGCGTGGGGAGCAAATGCCGACCCCTCGAGGAATGTGACCAGTTTTTCTCATGGATGCCCAACTGGCGTTTCACTCGGTCTCAAAAAAGGGAAGAGGTGTTTGAAAAAAAAATCGGACGAAAACTCTAAAATGGGATTGCGAAAAGGAGCTTCAGTGTTTTGACGAAAGGCGCCTTCGGGTTTTCATACAAAGTTTTGAGCATAATTCAGGTGAAATTGATTTTTTGCGTCGGTGTCAAAAGGTTACATTCAAATTAATTGTGTCTTTGGAAAATGTAAATGTGTGTTCGATTTTTTTTAAAGCATATTTTTCTAAATTCAGTTTCAGCAAGATTATATACGTATTATTTATCAAAGTTTTTTGTATTCTTTTTATTATGATTGTCGTATTAATTTCAAAAATTTATATTACATAGATTAAAATTTTTTTAAAGGTCCATGTTTTTTTCATATCTATTATTTACACTAAATTTTGAGTGTGAAGTTCTAAGATTATAAATTAACATTAATTTTTTTAATAGGAGGTTGACTTTTTTTCTTAATTCTATTGCAGGAAGATTATTTACATGTTTATTATATTAAGTTGATTAAGTTTAATTCTTTGTTTTTAATTCTAATGTGCATTAATAGTTAAATTCTATGATTATAAAATAATATTTACAAATTTTTTTTAGAAGGGCATGAGTATGTGTGTGTGTGTGTTTTTTTTTTAATTCTATCTCAGTTTAGCTAGGTTTTATAATATGTTTGTATGTGTGTGTGAGTGTGTAAATTTTTTTTATTATATTTTTTTTTAGTTTTTTTTTGTGATTGTTTTTTTATTTATTTTTTTTATTATATTTATTTTATCAATAATACCTATCAAGAAGTAATGTATATATAGATTGCTTCTTTTCAGGAAGATTTATTGTGTAATTTTTGTTTTGGCAAGATTGTATTATTGTTTTTTTTTTTCAATTATAATGTGTATTGTTGAACTTTAAGATTATAAAATATTTAATTTTTTAGAAATATTTTAGAAGGGGGTGGGTGTGTGTTGTTGTTTTTAAATTCTATTTCAAGTTAGCTAGATTATAATTTTACAATGTTTTTTTTTTTTTTTTTTTTTTTTTTTTTTTTTTTTTTTAGAAGAGGCGAATATTTTTTTGTATTTTGTATTATTTTCATTAAATTTTTGTCTCTGCATAATTTTTTTTTTTTTTTTTTTTTAGAGCAGGCGAAAATTGTTGTAATAATTTTATGTTTGAATTGTGTGTTGAGGAGTCCGTAATTTTACTATATATTGGAAAGATTGTATTATGTGCTGAAATCTTAGGTTTTTTTTTAATTCTATCTCAGCAACATGAATGTGTTTTGGTTTTGTTATTTTCTAGAGTTATTGTTTGAATGTGTGGTATTTGTCACTACGGATCTATACTACGTCGTAAATACATTGAAACGAAAATATAAAAACTGGCATCACAAATTTTCGGTACTTATTGCTTGTTGGCTGCTTCAGGAATGATGACATGGGGCTGTGTTGCCTGGGGCGCCGCGCAGTCCTCCACCACCTCCAGACGCCTGCAAAACTGCCACCCCCGACTCGGATTCCCAACAGCAGTCACACAAATTAACAAAAAAAAGTTTAAAAAAAAAAAATGAAAAATTTCAACGATTTCTACGGTGGCTGGCAATATTTGATTTATGAGCAGGAAAAGCAAAAATTAATTCATTCATTGGTTGGTTGAAATTGGGTTTTATTTGAATTGATTAACGGAGCTGGTGAAAATTTTGAGGCCTAGCATTGATTTTGCTGCAAAATTAAGACAGCGAGCCCAAAGTGGACAACAGAATAGGGTGTACATTTCTATTTTTCT